CACTGGATAATGAAAAAAATATTTTTCCTCTGGAATTTTGTCTCTTTCTCTCGTTTCAGACATGTTCTAACTTAGACATCACATATCACTTCTGAAAAGCTCATTTTTACTCTATGAAGTTATAATATGATTCATCTGACTTCATTAGTGGCAAACATGATTAATTAAGCCACTTCACATTGAATTAATAGATACTTAGTGTGAAAGGTCTCAAGAAGCAAGTAACACAGGTTGATGAAGCATTCTCTTTTACTGTACATCATCAACCATAATGTTGATGACAGCCATGAGATCACAAAGCACAAACTCTTAAGTCTCTACATATTGCAGAAATGAAGAAATGAAGTGCTGTAGATTGTTGCTTACCTAATTGAGATATTACAATTAACTATTATACATACTACTCTTCCATTCTATCATACTACTGAAACACCTGTCTGCAAGCATAAAAAAGGAGGAATTATTTATCAAAATGGAATTGTTGCTGCATATTTTTTAAGTTAGCAGGTTTTATAGTGGTCAATTCCAAGGAACAAATTTCTTGATTGCAGCATCCTCAAACCAACTAATTTGTTTGATCTTTCATCCATCCTTAATAAAAATACACATGTTCAGTGACTCAAGCGAGATTTTTGAAGAGTAATGTATGTAGTCTTACTTTTAAGCATTTAAAGAGGTTATTTCTGTGACTCAAGCCTAGTCTCTCAAGTAGCCTATCCACTCATCCACTCTTGATGTCTCTAAACTAGTTTTTAGACAAAAAGGTCTATAGATTAGAAGGCAAACAACCATTTAAATTAGATGTTATGCAGAGAAATCTGTGGCTGTTAAAAATTAGTAGCCTAATTGCCTAACTATTATCTAATCAATGATTCCTGGGACAATATAATCCATGATTTTGATCAAACTTAATCATCTGAATTTGTCTCATATCTCATCTATCGGCTTAATTTTAGATGCAATGACATTGATAAAAATATCAAAGCAAAAAAGTCTCAAGTTTAAATTTTCAATAAACTATGTTTATAAAAATATATCCTTGATTAATATTTTATATGTTGGGTTGAGCCATTTGTCATCAACATTTAAGGGGAGTGTCACAAATATAAATTAAGATCTCATCTACCAATCGAGGCTTTTTAAATGCAATGACATTGATCAATTCTGTTTATATGGGAATTGACATGTTGTCGAGTGAATCAAACTCCTGTTTAATTATTTATTAGTTGTGCAAATGAACTAATCAAACTCATTAAATCCACATCTAATTTTTCTTTTTGTCAAGTGTTTCAACCTGGCTTGAAACATATGGTCAATAATTCAACATTGATTCATATAATTTATGATTAGTTTGTTTTTTCTACTATAAATATTACTTGTGAGTATGCACAATAATCCTTGTTATGGAGATGAAGCCAATATTAAGTGCACAGACACATGTTTTAGTTTTGGAGAAAATTGTAATAAAATTACTTGAGGATGCAGAAATAATTTAGTCCCTTCCTATTAAATACTTAACCTTTTATGAAATCATATAAAAGCCAAAGTTTAAGCTGGCAAATGACACATGGCTTTGTGATTTATATGAGTACTCGAATAGGAATCTTCATCCAATTCCCAATTATCATGGGAAGGCCAAATCATAATACCATCAGGACTGTGGGAACCTTCAATGAGATAAGAGAGAAAATGAATTTTAACACAAAAAAAAGAAAAAAAAGAGAGAAGGAAATGAATGGAGACTATGATTAGTACTAGTCATGATATTATCCAATATTTAGCGATCTTATCGGTCGATAGGGACTGTTATTTACGAAGTAATCAAGTATCGATATCGAAACATATAATTTGATAATGATACAATACCATTTTTTATACTATGTTATTCAATAATACCAATTAATACAGGTCATTATACCATCTGGTTTACTGATTAGGTATGATTCATCAAAATCATTACTTGACATGTATACATTTAAATCATTTATCCAATTAGGTTAGGTTAAAATGCTAAATGAAAACCAAAGTCAGAATTTATATGGTAAAACAGTCATTCACATGCATGCATGTCCACAAATCCAAAGAGATCAGTAAAAGGGATAATTGCAAGGAACAAGAAATGGATGATTACTTGACAGTGAACTGTGCGGAAGAGATCCTGTCACCAAGTGTTGAAAATGGCATAATGACTTCATCACCTTCTTCCAGGAGAACACCCATAACCTTGCAGTAACAGGTCTTGTTCTCAACCCACAAACTAAGATCACTTTCAGGGCGCAGTCCGAGCTTCCCCCTTCCACCAATGGTATTACATTCTACTTTTTGTTAGGATTAGCAGCTATTGTAAGATTTCTGATGCATCTGAGGAGGATAAGAAATAATCTTATTAGTACGAGAAGAAGTTTTTGTGAAAAAGAAAATATTGAAAATTAAGATTTAATTTTTTATAAACATCTCATGTATATCTAAATTTTAATAAGGAAAAAAAATGTAATGAATATGTTAGTTTCCACTAAGTTTCTCTGATTTAGAGAGGGTGCTCTTTACAAATTTTAAAGAGGATAAGAGAAAAGTATGACTTTTTTTGAAGATTTATGTAATAGAATATACAAGAGGAGTTAAGCTTAAGCGATGATAATTTAAGAGTCTTATAATTGATCTCACTTGAGTGATAGACAAAATACATCAGATGTCAAATCTTATGTCAACTTTATTTTAATATTTTATTTGATTATTAATCTTTGAGTAATTTTTTATTTTGAAAGCCTTCTCTTACTCTCAACATTCATTTTGACTTCTCCTTCAGTTGTTTAACTCTCTCCTTTAGCTCCTTCATGTAGTTGAAGGCTTGGTTGGCTGCTGTGTCTTGGCACCCTGTTGCAACAGAAAGCAAAGTATTAATTTTGTTCCTTATTTTCTAACAGTGTTATGTGTTACAAGACTAAGTATTAATTTTGGTAATTGTCATATATTATGGTGATTTTTTTTATGTATATATTGGTCTTGGGTATTATTATTTTTTTATCAATTTTTAGATCTTTTTTTCTTGTCATACCTTAATTCATGTATATTATTGATGTTTATCAATTCAACTATTGGTTTACATATATTTGATGTTATCAATGGAGAAGATTAAGCATATGCATTCACTTTTATTGAAGATAATATTATAATCTCAAGTTCAATCTCAACCTGATGAAAAATTGGAGAATACTCAAACAAGTTCAAACTCTACAAGTGATGAGGATGGATGTTCCTAAGGGGATGGCTTTGAAATGACTACTTCAGCATTAATTATAGATTTATTAACTGTTGTCTTACATTATAACAATTGTCTTCTTCTATTAATATATTTTTGTTGGGACAATTTTTGTAGGAAAAGTAAAGAACAAAATGATACACTCGCATAGCTAATACATGGAGTTTATCACCTAAGAAGCGTGTCATAATTTGATTAGGAATAAATCAATAAGATGTGGGGTTTAAAGGAGGTTTAGATGGTAAATTTTTGGATGCTATTGTAAGAAATGTTGATGACACCCATTAATATTAAAACATGCAAACAAATATCTAACTTTTTAACAAAAGAGATGGTGAAGTTGTGGAGATATTTGTTAACTACTTTATATTAGTTAACAAAAGATATTAAACTGGTAGAAATTATTTATTGATATAATGTTTGCAATATGTTATTGTGGGCAAAGTTTGACCATCCTTGTATTCCAAACATGACTAAATGGTACTACAATGCATTAATTTAAAATGAAGAAATTAGAAAAAGTGACTTATAAACTAATCATTATGAAAACTCAAAGTCTCTGTCCTTTCATTTGATTAGTATTCTTGATAAAGTTAGTAGAGATTAATGTGCCATACTTATTACTTGCTAGAACTCTAAAGAGGGGTAACCATATAATATTTTTAAATTTAAATCAACAGCAAGATTTTAGTATCATTATGTCATTTTGTAATATCAATCTCATGGTATTTAGAACTTGTGTTTTCAAAATCTTAGTAAGAGAAATAAAGTTAATATAACAAAACAATAAATACCTCAAGCATTGGGGAAGAACAATTATATTTGAAAGTTAAGCAAAACTTTTATAATATATTTTGAATGGTATATTTGAAAGTTAAGATAGGGAAGAGGTTAGCCTGATATTTTTATTATTAGTAATGAAAGGAAAAAAAAAAAGGGATCAGATGTCAAAATGGATGAGGACACAATAAGAGTAGTTATATATACCACTTAAACTTTTCACTAAGGATGATGGATTATTATTATTTGTAGAAAAAATTATGTTCTTGAGTTATAACTACAAGAATATATAGGTAAAAATATATTTTGTTTATACAAGGAATATATCTTCCTATAGTTAAAACTACACTCTAGATAAAAATATCTTTTGTTACAGTGAATATAAAATAAGCTTCTTTTTATGCAAAGCTTTCTTGAAACTCTTGAAATTTTCAATTGGGTATTCTTGAAAGATTTATTGATGTCATCATATCTAAAAATTTAAATAACGTGATTTAATTTATAAGAACATGACTTTTTTTTTGTGTTTATCTCCCAACCACCATAAACAATAGGCATTATCTTAGTAACTTGGGGTTAATATATTTTATAATTTTCTTCTCATGAAAGAATCAATATTTATGGTGCAAATGCAAGTATTGGAGAAATACACAAAGTTCAACATGCGAACATATTCTACAATCATATGTATGTATAGTATATATATACCTTCGACATGGAGCTATACATATATATATATATATATATATATATATAGAGAGAGAGAGAGAGAGAGAGAGAGAGAGAGAGAGAGAGGGAGAGAGAGTTTGGTATCCAGCCCGAGCTATATCCTTACGCATAGGGTATGTTTCTCATGTTTCCAAGTTGGCCCCTCGAATCCAGTGACCACAACCAGGGTATCTTGCTGGGTTTAATTCGAACGGCGTCTCGTCAAGAGAAAGACGGACAATGGGGCCCATCACTAGTTCTATGTTTTCCTCCGCTCCCTCACCGAAACAGTAGGACAGTGGCGATATCTCGGGTCTTCTGCACCAATCGCTCGTTCTTACGTTCCATGGGTTTGATCTCGGATCTTTCGTCGATCCAGTAAAAGGACTCTTCCGATCCAATCACAGGTTCTGAGCACAAGGAGCGGCCTACCGGGGATGGCGAATGATTCACAAAACTCGGGTGATCTTCCTTGCTCCCCTGTTTTTGCTCCTTTTCCGATCCTTAATCATGAATTTCCATCGGGATTTGGCTTGTAAAGGTCGCTCCTTGGAGCGGATTCAGGTCGATTAGGAGGCTTAGATACGGGTTCCTGGTTTACAGAAAGAACTCCGATCGGTGTTTTTGAGCCATTTGAAAGCCCTAGGTATTTTGAAGAGGATTCAACAGAGAAGTAGAATTGCGGACTGCCCCAAGTTCTGACCTTGCTTGGTGCTTCATCCGAAGTCCTTCGTACATCATCTACACCAACCTAGATATATTATGATGAAAGGATTATAAGCTTCTTGTTTATGTAGAAAAAGAAAAACTTTAACAATCCACATGGGTGCCTCATGATGATACAATCCGTAGTTGGTCTTGTCAAGTGTAATTGGTTCAGTTATACATTTTCTTCTTTTTATATAATCTTGTGGACATATGATGAATGACAAATTTCATGGAGATTCATATTACAGGGGGACTGAACGATAGAATGCTTCAATATCATAGTGACACAAATATCGTGTTTTTCCTTTAGATGGACATTCTATATTTTAGATCTCTCCAATTTTCCTTTTTTTCTCTTTAAATATCATTTTGTGGCTTGTAGAATTAATTTGGTTAAAGAACTACTCAATATCTAGTGATATGCAGATTAATGGAATAATGTCAATGTGGTCTTAATATCTGAATCCACAAGTGAAAATAACAAGGTTACCTTGCACATGGCTCTGGGTCTTGACAAGTTGTTGGGCTTCTAAAATAGGTGACTATCACATACATGGATTTGTAATTAGCCACTAAAATCTTTGAGTATGTTCCACTACTCTATTAGTTATTTGATAATTTGAGCTGCTGCTGCTTATCAAATGTAAATTATCTAAGTCTGTTTCATCATGGAAAGAAAACTGTCGATATTATCAATAACATAGTTTTCAATCTGTAGCATCTGAGATGGCCAAGATAGTGGATGATGGTGGACATGAGGTCAAAGGAGAGACCGCCGATGAACCTTCATCAAAACCAATTCATGTGATTCGAGAACCAGTGAGGGATGAACAAGTGCTAAATGCTGTTAAATTTTTGTCTCATCCAAAAGTGAGAGGTTCTCCAGTGATATATAGGCGTTCATTTTTGGAGAAAAAAGGCCTTACAAAAGAGGAAATTGATGAGGCATTTCGCCGTGTACCTGTAAGATGTCCAACATATCTGTTTTTTGTTCTTTTATTAAGTGTTTATTCCTCTTGTATGGGGAATGTAAATTCATCTAGTGCTTTTAGATGCAAGTGAGCATGCTTCATTGTCATTGTAGGATCCACCTTCAAGTGTTGCAGCTGTTGAGCCAACCACAACAAACCAAGGTAATGCAACATGTTCTTACTGTGCCAATCTCTAATCTTTTTATTGCAAAGTTGTAGAGGCCGATTTTTGACAAGCTTTTGAGGAACCTCGATATATTTGACAATTTTCAGATTCTTTCACCTCATTTCTGGAGCAAAGTAATTGGCCTTGGAGTTCGGTAATGATATCATGGTATCATGGCATATTCTGGGGAATATGCTTTAACCATGCCTATGTAACTTCATTATGTCTTCTGCTTGGAAGAATTTGTACTTTTGAAAAGTGGACCTGTAGGCCATTAGAGCTGTTATCATTCACCCACTTCTTGATGAGGCCTTATGTCTACAAAGTTGTGATCCTATGTAGACACATTCCTTTTCATAACTTTTGATAAAATTGTTTGATATCATGGGAAAATTTGTTGTAGACACTCTTATTAAAAACTATTGATGCTTGAGTTTGATTTTGCCATTTTGGAGCTACCACATGAAGCAATTAATACTCGAGAAGTTATTTTTGCTTTCTGTGTGCTCATCTTTTCAGTTTTAAAAAATTGGTAACCAGTTTTACAAAGCGAAGTTTTAAATTGGAATTATAAATTTTTTTAAAGAAGTTATGGTTTAGGATTAAGTAAAAGTCATTGTAAATTTCTATGTACCTTCGAGTAGATTCTGCTTTCTTACGTTTTTTGGATGATAATATTTAATATTAATGTCACTTTTTGGGTTGCCTTAACATAGAAAATGTATCATGAAGATGATAAGAGAATGAGTTGTGTACTTTTGCTAACAGTTCACCTCTAATTCAAGCATAAGTAGTGTTTATGATTCTACTTTAGTTTTGTATGATCTATCCATATTAGAGGGTCGTCTTGTCACGGACAAAGCTATAAATAAGGTGTTCGATGTAATGCTCGTGTATGTCAGTGTCTTTCAGTTTTGTTCATGCTTTGCAGCAAGTAGAGGGCTTGTAGTAGACTTGGCAGCCTTATTTTGGTTGACTTTTGTGGCCATTTCAGGCTTGTAAACGCAGGTCGTGTGTAGTCATCGTGCATAGACAAAATTACCCAGAAACAAGCCATTTAGGCAGTCATTTTGAGGATTTTCTAACTCCGCAAAGTGGTGCGGAGTGTCAACCAACAAAGCACTCAGGATCTACTCGGGTGGCACATGGCTGGATGGGCTTTTGGGGTAGTGTCTAGGGTTGGTTCGCTACCTTGTTCTACAGTAGTGTCATGTGGGCACTTGTGGGGACCACCTTGGACCTTTTGTTGTGCGGTTATTCAAAGTTTGTGAAGTCTATGTTTGTAATTTGCATTGCCTATCAAGTGTTTGCTAAAATGACTATTTGTGAGATCCCGAGTTAAGCGCTTCCTCTAACCTGTTTTTCTTTTACGGGTCTTTAAAGGACCATAAGAGGTTTTAGGGAGGTTGATCATTTGCGGACGGACACGTAAGGGTGCCACACGACTTAGGCAAAACCAACTAAGACCATAATAGATGGTATCACAGCGGGACAAGCACACTTAGAAACATTTGGCATGTAAACATCTGATCGATAAGTTAGAGGACAAGACCGAGTAAGTGGACATTGCTATCATGGACGCAAAGGAGAACAGGATCGGCGTGAGCTCTATAATATGATGGTGAAGGCCATGCATGAGAGTTGTAGTTTGTTTTTCCATCAAGGGGAATTGCTCTGAGAACACAGAAGTGTTGAAGCAAGTGGCCAAAAGGGGTGAAAACGTGACTATGAGTCTAGAGGGACTTAGCTACCCAAAATATAAATGTTGATTAGAATGAAGGTGGACTCGGAGGAGTGTTACGGAGCTGCAAAGGCAGATCTACTGATTGTGAAGAAGAGGATGCAAATTGGAGATGATGGATTGTAAGGTCATGAACATGACAACGCCATAGTACTGCAAAGGTGGGACTTTTGTGGAGTCGTCGATCCTTTGCTTTGATAGAGGAAGAGCGCTTGGTCATGAAAGAAGCCGAAGTGGAGAATGCAAAGGTAAACTCCAAGTACCGAGACAAGGCTGAAGGGCCGATACCAAGGAATTTCGTAAGATTGATGTCAACGGGCTTCCCATCAAAATAGCTGAAAGTGGAGGACTTCATGTTGATGCAGGAGCGCTCGACCAAGGAACAAAGTATGCAGTATACGGTGCTGTACCTTTTCTACTTATAGTAGTAGACAACAAAAATAGTGGAGAAGAAGGTACAATCATAGAGGTGAGTAAAACTATTGGAGATTTGCTCTAACTCAGAGTGAAATTTTGCTCTTTTCGTGCAAAACTTCTTGCATTCTAGAAGTTTGATAGCAATGAGAAAGCAAATCGCAGTAGCTAACTCAACGCAATGAGTGCAAACACATCGGGTGCTTTGGAAGCATGAGTAGGGTAGGTGAAGACTAGTAACTAGCTCGATGTATGGAGTACAACACTCGAGGAGACAAGAGAAGCCGAGTAATCTTTGCCTTCTCAACTCGTAAGAGAATGAACGAAACCGAGTACCATAGTTTTTTTATTTATCTAACAAAAGAGCTCTGTATAGGTTCAAAGACCCTTTGAAGAAACTTAATGGAAGACAACGGTTGTCAAATCCTCACCAATGGTGATCAGTGCTACTAAAAGTAGACTGTCTGCTTCATTTCCCAACAAAATATTAATCGAAAGCGGAAGTGATGTGAACCTACTTGAAGGCGACAACTAAGTGGAAATAGAGTCGATGGGCAAATTTCGTCGTGAAGGAAAGACATCAAAAACTTCAAAGTCTGTGAGACAATGCTTGTTAAAGCTCCAATAGGCATCAACCCAGTTCAAGCTGCGTGGGACATTTTAGAGATTGACGAATAACAAGGAAGTTGTTTTCCTTTATCTAAAGGATCCACAAGAACTAACAATTATTAACACAATTAGACCGACCCCACACTAGAGTCAGAGTTATTAGTGAGTTGAAACAACATAGCGGATCAATGTTCAATTGCTCCAACAGCGCAGAGAATAGTTGGCAGCCAAGAAGTGCATTGCAACTTGAGCAGAAGATTGAAGGTTCAGCAAAGACGAGGAGATGCAACATCCACAAAGGCTTTGACAAGGACGTCGAAGGAATAAGTGGAGGAGAATATCACCGACAAAGCTGTAAACAGGATGTTCAATATAATGCTTGTGTATGTCCATGTCTTTCGGTTTTGTTTATGCTTTGCACAGTATATGGAGGGCTTGCAGTAGGCTTGATAGCCCCATTTTGGTTGGCTTTTGTGGTCGTTTCAGGCTTGTAAACGCAGGTTGTGTGTAGTCGTCATGTAGAAGCAAAACTGCCCATAAATAGGCTATCCAGGCAGTCATTTTGGGGGTTTTCTAGCTCCATAGAGTGGTGCGGAGTGTCAGTCAGCACAACACCTAAGAACTACCCAGGGGGCATATGGCTGGATGGGCCTTTGAGGTAGTGTCTAGGGTTGGTTCGTTGTCTTGTTTCACAGTAGTGTCATGTGGGCACTTGTGGGGGCTTTTAGCTGTGGCGAATCACCTTGGACCCTTTTTCGTGTGATTATTCAGAGTTTACAAAGTCTATGTTTGTAATTTGCATTGTCTATCAAGTGTTTGCTGAAATGGTTACTTGTGGGATTCTGAGTTAAACACTTCCTCTAACCCATCTTCTTTTTTGCAGGTCCTTAAGGAATCATAAGAGGTTTCGGGGAGGCTAACCCTTTATGGACAGACATGCAAGGGTGCCACACAATTTAGGCAAAACCGCTAAGTTCGTGATAGCCTGATGCATGAATGCTGATCGCTTAGCACACTCACAGGGAAGAGATGGTCTGTTCGCTACACTCACATGTAGGGTAGAGGCGGTTAGGTTTCAAGGGTCACATGTCGATGGATTTGGTGTGGTTGGTTTCCTTACCTAGGCTCGTACTCGGTTCGAACCAAATTAAGCACTTGCCTAAACCGTCCGACAGTTGGGCTAAGGGGCACTCTTGGACCACGCCCAACCAAAGATCTTGTCTGATACTTGGGTCTCACCTCACCTCACCCGAGCGCTTAGGCGAGTACCTCAGCATCTATTGACATTACTGTTGGTGTTTAACAGTGCATCGACACATAGTACACCAATATGTATTGAAGTGTGTTTTGCGAAGAAGAGAACTTATGATCACGAGCCTTAATTTCAACCATTTTAATTGATTTTAATGGTCGATACATACCGTTCTGGGCAAAAAGTAGTTCCATGGTTTGTTTCACTATATGATGGCTTGTTTTGCAAACTATAATTGTTGAGATCTTTAGATTTAGTTAGCCAAAATTTGAAAACCATTTGTTTGCTTTTACAATGTCTACTCCCTATGCAACTCATGGAAACCTAATGTGACTTCTTTGTCTTTATTGTTTCATTTTATGACTTCTACTCCCATGTGCAACTAATGGATATTTGGACAAGAAAATGTTTTCATTAATCATATCCATAACTCAATTTTTTGTCGTCTCTTCTTTGGAAAATTCAAAACATCATCTGTACATCCCTGGAAACCTAAATCCTGGTGGCAATAAATCTCCATGTCCTAGAAATAATGAATCCGCCTGTATATAGAGCTGAACGACATCCCAGATTTTTACAGAGTCCAATAGCATCCAGATTTGTAGAATCCAAGTTGAAGTTGCAGGTGCTGAAAGATTTGGAAAAGCATTAGTATGGGTAGCTGTTTGAAATCCTGATAACCCTTTTGAGAAATCTATACTTATATTATCTAGGTAAATCTGGTCTTCAATTTGCCTCAGCTGTTCTGCATGTCATAATAGGATATTCACATAAGAACTAGCAATTCAAATCCCTACCAATTGTTAGTCATCGATCACTGCATGCTTATTTAATGGTTATTGTACCTGATTTCTGCACAAGTTTGTAACTTGAGTCATTTGGACTTGCCTGCATTGTTTATCTTTGCAATGTTAACTGGCTTTCTCCTTTCTTCTGTTGTTAGCTGTCCAAGAAAAATCATCTGGAACCTTGCAGCCACAAGTTGCCAATCAAGTTTCACAACAAACGCCTTTTGCTTCTGCAACTACTAGCTTGCGTCAATCAAGATTTCACTGGAGTATGGCTCTTTTTGTTGTTGGACTTGCTGCTTCGGGAGCTGGAACAGCAGTGCTTTTCAAGGTACCAATTCATTTAACTGACATCTATTCTTTTGCTAGTAGTGTTCAAACTGCTGATGCTTTGCTGCCTGTAAGCATAAGCTAGCTTCAGAATCTTTCAATGATTCTCAAAGTTCTCTTGTACCATTTGATATATAGAAAAAGATTGTTCCGAAGTTGAAAGCTTGGATTCGGAAGGTTGTGGCAGAAGAGAACGATCTCAAGTTTAATAAAATATCAAAATCTAACATAGCTGAAGAAGCAGCAGAAGCTGCAAAAGCGGCTGCTTCTGCTGCTGCTGCTGTTGCTATTGCAAGTCAAGAATTGTTGAATGCCAAAAATGAAGGTCATCATCTGTGAACTATTCTTTTTACTGATCTGTAGATCATATTAAATGTTTAAACTTTTCATTTTCTTGTTAGAGAGGAAATACTTTGAGGCTTTTACTAGAATGTTAGATGTTCAAGTAGAAGAGATGAAATCCATGGGCAATGCTATCCGCAAATTGGAAATTACAAGGAGGGAATTTTCGGAAGACAAAGGGATACAAGAATACATGCAATCCCAATCATGGAAGGGTAAGTTAATGGAATAAGCACTCAGTTATACTTTTTTCCCCATAATATTACTTATCAAATGGTGATCCTGGAATAATGACTTAGTGACAAAGATAGCTATTCATCAATTGCTTGCAAATTGAAATAAAATACTTTGGTTTTAAGAAATGAGAATCTTGCTTAGTGAAGTTGTTATGATTTTCTTTTGATATTGAATGAAGAATGATATAACTTTCTTGATAAAGGAAGTAAAATCTTTTGTTTTTATAACCATAGAATTTATTATCTTTATGAATAGTATGATGGGCCCAGAGTACTTCAGAAAATGACTGAAGCATATCTTCCATTTAAAAGAATGATCTGGTGATGCCTTTACCCGGTTGGTATTAACCATCTTCCTGGACAGAAGAGAAAAGCATCACACCAATTTAGCATTTTGCTGACTGCAAGTAGTAACCATGATCCATGTATTATTTATCCATCAGCTATCCTTATGAGACTTACGAGATCTGTCTATGAAGTCTTGTCTAGAAATAATGCATGTCATGAGGACACAACTGATGGCATAGAGAGGTCTTCTTCTTCCTCTTTCTTTGAATCTCACTCTACTGCAGTTTGTTATTACCACTTCTTACTTCTTTCCTTGATACTCGTTCTTTTGCAGTTTGTTATTACCACTTCTTGCATTTCCACAACTCTGAACTCTGAAGTAGGACTAACTTTGTTAGTGATGTAGTGATCTATGATAGGCTGATGAATATGCTGGACATTTATATTTAGATTTGCTGCAATTGGGAAATCGAACACAAACAATGTGTAATATGGTATCTTCTATATGAGTGTATTTGGGTTGGGTATTTGTTTTTTGTGAAACATGTTACTGCAACTGATTTTTCCATCTCCAGGTTTATTTTCAAATAATTCTGTCTGTTCTAGTGATAAAAGATCATGACTGCAAAACCTATTGTTGATGTTGGTTAAAGGATTGATGTTTTCTAGTTGTTCATATTTTTGGTGTAGTAATCTGTCCATTCTTTTTGAAGCTCAAAAACTATAACATAAATGAAAGTTCAAAATCCTGCTACAGCTATGCATAAAACTATATTTGGCATAGTAATATGCATTTTTCATAATAGATACCTTGATTCCCTCTTTGTATTAGATAATTTATAGCTGTAGCAAGATTTCTGATAGCTGTTTCTGAGTTGTAAACTCAAGAAGCATTATGGTCTTAGAACAATAAGTTAGGCATCTTGGTTATTGGGTAATTGTTATCAAGGTTTGACATCTTGGGTATAGTACCTATATTGGTCCCTGGTCGAACTGATGAATCTAGTTCGTATCAGCAATACTGATACACAGTCCTTTGGTATATGCTACAGTAGCAAAAAGTGAGGGAGGAGGAGAAGAGAAGAAGTACGACAGTCTGGCTAATGGTGGCAGGCAGCTGGTGGCAATGGCATGCTCCTCACTCTAGGGGTTTGGGGATTGATAACAATCGGGAGAGAGAGACATAGAGACAAAGAGAGATGATCTTTTACGGACGGACACGCAAGGGTACCACACGACTTAGGCAAAATCAACTAAGTTTGTGACGGTACGACATTATCTAGTCGTTCATAAAAAGCAATCTTATGCTAAGCCTATATGCATTAGGGTGATGAAGGAAAGCAATGGGATGAGAAAAGTGACGGTGGTCTAGGGGCAAACCACCCACTTTTGCCTGGGCACACTCTGTTCCATTCCTTGATTTCAGAACCGAAGTAGAATGAGTGAAAAGACTAATCTTTTTGGAACATCATATAGTAGGTTCCCTGTGTGCTTTTTTCTTATGGAAAGCATCGAAAAGGATAGCATGTATGCTCTCGACCCTGAGACAAGCCTTTACTTTCTCTTTCTCTCTCTCCTTTTGACTGAAATCAATGTTTTCTTTCTTGGACCTTATGAAGCAATCAAATCTTTAAGACTGATCTCCTCAGAACACTAGCCAGTTGAGTGCTTTCCTATTTGTGCCCTTTCCATGCTGACTACTTGACCTACCCCGTTGGCTATTTCTAAGTGGTATTAAGAACTTGGTAAAATCTGTCAAACTTGGTTGGTGTTACAACAACAAAAAAGAAAACCTATCTATATGAGATGAGGCATGTTTATGAATTATAGTACTACTACAGTTGTCATGCTTTTCCGTGTGCAACTAATGATCATATACAACAACGACGACAACAAAGCTGTAAGTCTCGACTATTTAGGATTGACTCCATGGATCTTTTACCGTCATTGAGATATGTAAAAATCTATATGTCATATGTCATAGCAAGGTCATCAATTTCGAATAATACCGTCCGGTACGGATGGTACATACCGGTCCGTCAGCAGATCGGTATATGGACCAGCTGTTAACGAACGGTATATATATATATATACATACATATATATATACATACATATATAATACATATATATACATATATAATACATATATATACATACATATATTTATATACATATACATACATACATATATATTACCGATGTCGCCTCGGCGATGTCGCCTTTCCCTTCTCCCACGCGGGGCGACGTCGCCGAGGTGATGCGACGTCGCCTTTTATAAAAATATTTATATATAAAAAAATCCTTTATATATAAATATGTATATTTATATATAAATATATATATATAAGATTTTTTACTTTTATATACATATATATATATATAGGTGACGTCTCCTTGGGGAGAAGAGAGAGGCGTTGCCGTCGTCAAATTTTTATTTTATTATTATTATTATTATTATTATTATTATTATCATCATCATTATATATATATATATATATATATATATATATATATATATATATATACACACACCGAACGGTATACCGCTCAGTATATTATATTGTACCGTACCGAACGAATGTCGAAACTCCGGTATGGTACGATATTTCAATCCTTGTGTCCTAGTATCAAATATTTTTGTTTAATATGCATATTTGTATGGCAATTTATTTATCAAAGGCTTTTATTTTCGTCCAAGTTGATTTTCCAAGATAAATGCTGTTAGCAATTATGAAATTCTGATTCATCGTAGATGGCTGTACTATTTATTTCTCTGCAATCCTCAGGGACCACCAACAATCCATGGAGAACAAATCAAGTGAAGCAAGCAACTTCTAATTTTAATTCAGGCTCAAAGGTTTGTTGTGACTTTTGCTATCTGTATTCCTAACAATAAATGTGTGTAACACTAAGTTGCTATTTGAAATCTGTAGACAATTTTTTAACTAGTTCAATCATTCTTTTCAGCATCTGGAAGTAAATGGTTCTCCTGATATGGATTCTGGAATAGGTTGTCATTCAAATTTTGGTCACTTTTAACTTTCAATTTACCTTGCAAATTATGATTTTGTTCTCTAATTCGATTTGTATACAGCGAAGCCATTAACAACCCCTGCTTCCGTGGAACCACCCCATCCCAAATCATACATGGAGGTAAGCCACTTGGGGTTACTCTGGTAAAATATTATTTGTATCCATGAGAGAAGAACTGCAGCTTTTTGGTGCATTAACTAAATGCAGCAAAATTTTGTGTTTTTTTTTCTCTGGTGGATATCCAGCAATATCTATTGCTTTCTCTTGTAACTAGTTAATTCTGATTTTGACTTTGATCTTCTCATTTCTTCTTCTCTCCTGCTAACACGTTTATGTGAAATTCATGCCTTGAACTTAATCATAATTGTTTGACTATTATCTTTATTTCACTTTGAGTTAAGAGACTCATCCTCATAGTCATTGCATATATCACTATCTCAGAAAGAAATGGTTTTAGTTCCATTGTGTGGCCACAGGTGATGTTAAATTCCCAAGTGTGTTTTTTGGCCTTTTCTTGTATTTTTCACATCAAGGTTCGTCGTATCGTACCGTACCAACCTTTCGACCTGGGCTCGGTACGATACGGTACGGTGTACCGAGCGGTACACCTGATTTCACAAATTTAACCCTTTGAAAATACCTGAAAATTAAAAAAAAAGTTAGGATAGAGTTTTTAAGTTACAAATAAATATAGTAATAGTATAAGTTTAGCAAAATCAATGTAAATTAGGTAAAAATAGTATCACATATCTTTTCCGGGCTTTGAAGTAGTCTTGTTCGAGGTTCGTATTTTAGCCCGTTATAGATATTTCTAGATTGAAATATCTACAGAAAAACCAATTGAATTGTTAGACTATTTTGTTACAATATAAACTCTAAAATTCAAATGAATTAAATAATCACATATGTAGATATACCTGATTGTTGATTCTATCACCAAAACGACGGGCCTCCACGGGTGGTGGATCGGGGTCCTCGATCCGATACATCTACATATCAATATGATACGTTGGACCCAATCATGAAATGGATCTCATGACATAGTGTATTGATATATCGTATGCCATTGATACATCAATGTGGTGCTGATCATAGACTGATCGTCATGAATCATATTTGTCCGAGGCAGCTCTTGAGGCATATATTGGTGAATGTCAGAGCTTCTACTTTCGCTACTGATCTTAAATATCTTAATTACTCTCTAATTAAAGAAAATGAATATATACCTCTTAATTAGAAAGTTCTTTCCTCTTAATCTTCTTAAATTAGCCTCGATTGAATTCACAAATCGTTGTTTTATAAAGTTTAGGAGAGAAAAAAAAAGTTTGAGAGAGAGTTTAAGAGAGTATAATGAAATAGGGGAGAGAAGAATGGCTTAAATAGAAGGAGAAAGGGCTCCAACCGTCAAATCGATCGTTACCGAGTGGTACCGGGCGGTAACGGTCGAAATCGACTGTTACCGCCCGATATTACTTTTTAGCGTACCGCCCGGTAGCCCGTCGGATCGGTATGTACCGCCCATACTGGGCGGTACGATTCGGTATGGTCGACCTTGGTTCGCATATCATATCCATGGGACAGCTGGGCTTTTCTTTCACTACCTAAATGACAGTAAAATTTTGTGGTATTCTTTAGTGGATATCTAGCAATGTCGATTGCTTTTCTTGTAACCTGTCAGCTATAATGGTGCAAGTTTGGTATCCTTATTTCTTTTCCTCTCCCGCTAAAACATTTATGTGCAATTCATGCCTTGACTGTATTGATAATTGTCTGACTAGTTTCTTATTTTGCTTTGAGTTGAAGGCTCAATCTTCATAGTGAATGCATATCTTATAATTTCATAAAGCAAAATCTCTGCTGCATCATATAGTTTAGTTCCATGTTGTGGCCACATAGTTAATTCTAAATATTCAGTTGGGTTTTTTGGCCTCTATTATTTAGGAAAATATGGAATGTTCAAATAAAGTAGTTCTAATGATGTGTCAATGGAATTCTTGATGGGAATTACAATTTTTTATGACCATTCAGTACATTAACATATTTGCAGTTTAGGTTTAAGGAATTATCTATTGACATAAAAAATATTTGCAATTTAGGCATGGTAGCTTTAGATCTTCCGATCAATTCTAGATCTGAAGATTTTATGTTTCAAAAAGCTTAATTAATTAAGTCCAAGTTTTGCCTTATCGTAACATACCGCTCGGTACGAACGGTATGTACTGATCTAATAGGGCACCGGTATGGCCGGTACATTGGTGCGCCTCCATATACAATGCGTTGGTATGCTCGGTATGACTCGGTACATATCGTACCAACAATTGGTCGGTACATTGGTATGGATTGGTAAGGCAAACTATGATTAAATCCTAATAAACTGATATTTGGTAAGAGCCAAAATATACAATTCAGGGCTTAACTATAAGAAGCTTATAGGTAGTTAATTAAGGTTCTATTTTGCACTAACAAATATAAGATATCATAAATTGGTTTTCGCAAGTTAAATCTAATCCTGTGGGCTATGTCGAAGTTAGTGATTCACAAGGATGAGGAAAAAGAATCCAAAGCAAGTACAGGCTATTATTTTTCTCAGAAAGGAAAGAGAAAGTTTAAATAAAAAAAAATCTCTCTTTATGAGCCTTCATTTTGAGCAGTTAAATATTTTTAAGGTTAACTTGCATTTTTTATCTGTCAAATCAACGAACACTGTGTATGTGAGATTTATGGCTCTTTTGCTTCTAAACTTTTGTGCTTTGGTACATCATTCCTGGTTTGCAGATTATAGAAATGATACAAAGAGGGGAAAAACCTCCAAACATCAAGGTGCATTGCTTCTTCCACTTGTTATCTATGTTAGACTTGTTTAGTTATGAGTCATTTTTAAGTGTTTTTGCACTTTCATGTTACAATGAACAGGAGATTGATGACAACCCTCCCAATCCTAACCAGCCAATATCTAATCCTCTTCTAGCTCCGAAGCGCAAGGTTTGGACTTCAAAAATTCTTACCTTTTTATACTACCTCTGTAAGACTACAAGGACTCAAATATAGGTCTTGAATCGAGATTTCAAACCTTGTTGACACAGACGGATAACAAAAGTTTATATATTGTAATATGTGCTTGTGGATTTACACTGTACTAGTCATTTTTGTTGGATTTCCTATTTGGACTTGAGCCATTTGGTAACCAATTTTTGTATGAAGTATATTGTTTTTTTCAACACCACAAGGACTAGAATATGAGAACCTACCTGTCATTTTAATTCCTAGGTTTAATGGTAGGATTCTCTTTTAGGGATGTCAATTTTTTTGAATTAGCATAGATTTGTCATTTTGGATTTTCTCTACCTACAATTTTATTAATTTACAGCATAGTATCATGGCATTGGTTTTGTTCTTTTAGCTTATTTTACAAATTATCCACTATTACTGTCACAGCCTTGGGAAGTCACTCAACAAGCTGAGCAGAGACTCAGTTATGGACGTCACTCCCAAGCAAATGGCCAAGGACTGAATTCTGAGGTCCGAGAGACCAATTCTCAGCCAAATGGGAGCCATTCCAATGGCTCAGAGCCTTGGTGGAGAAAGAAAACCATTAAGATCTCTGAGGTCGAACCTGAATCAGAGGAGCAGTTTTATGATGCAATGAGGGGAAATGCAAGTCCGATGAAACGAGGATGGGTTCCTCCTCAGCCACCAACACTCCTGTTGCCAGAAGCTGCTGATGCTATCAGACAACTAAAACCATCCATTCAGAAGCAGCAGTCTGTAGACGAGACCTTGACGGTTGGCTCTAGCAATGGAGAAGACCTTGATGCAAAAGCATCCGATTCAACCATTGAACCAGAAATGTCCGGCAGTACAGGGATGGACTTCAGTCAAGCAAAAGATCAGGAAAGGGAAGTCAGTGTAGAAATCAACTGAACAAGTATAAAGGTTTTAACCGTTGTTAAATGTATATCGATGTTCTTGCACACTATGGAACAAAGTCTTTGTCAGTCTAAGTTTACATATTTTTGTAAGTGTCAATAAATAACAAAACCTTACTAGATGAGAATCGTTGGAGTGGATGGGTATGTTGAGTACATTGCTGAATGTTTACTGCTTCAGATTTGCTTCCAGTTTGATGGCAGAACTCTTATTTTTTTTCGGTTCTTTTATTTGTTACACCAGTAACTAATACGAATTTTGAAATGAGTCTTTTCCTACGTCTATGGTTTTTCTGGCCTCTATTTTCTTGTCGATGAAGTCTATGACATGTTTCCTAAATATTTTGGTTGTAGCATTATTGGTGTTTGATGCAGTAAATTTTCATTTTAGCTGCTTGCTGCAACTTAGAATAGCTATCTATGTATATGACTGCAGTGAACTAACTGGGATGTTTTGTAAAGACTTTTGTGTCATCATCATGATTGCCTGTAATGAAATGATCTATGATGAGTTTCTCATTAATACAGGATGCATAATTTTATGCCTATGATATCGTGATTTGAGAGTTGATAAATTACTATGATGGTTGAGAAGTCTTATCATAGCACTAATACTTCAATTCACTCTGTACTATATAGTCTGAAGCATATTTTGTTATTTTCACGAATATTTAAACTGTGTTGATTCTTGTAGCTATCGGATCTTAAAAGATGTGATGTTCAACTGCCATCAGGAAAGGATGCACATGCGGAAAGATCATTCTCATAATTCAAACTTAAAACTTTGATAATAGATATAAGACATGAATATTCGAACACCATGTCATCGTCAGTCCGATTGCGACTCAAAACGCTCTATACATATCAGCTGAAAGTGGTTATTCCTTAATAGAAGTTATGATTCTTTTGTAATTAATACTATTTTTGTTTGCCTTTGTGAGTTTAGGATACAAAAGATGAGTTAAGGTTCATTTAGCTCATGGTTAGCTGATGGTTTTGATCATATGTCTCAGTTAATATATATATGTTAGAATCTGCTTACGTCGCATATTCACTTATTATAAATCATTAATATAATGACATATATAATTTAAGTTCCACTAATGATGGTAGGTGGCGTCATCGTGGAAGCGACCACCAGCAGTAGCACTGAGCCACTACTACATAATAGGATGTCATACGCACGCAGCATCTCCCGCGATAATGATAAGCTTAGGAGTTTCTGGTTCTGCCTCAGGTGGATGTGCGTCGACCAATCCGATGCTAGACATGCAATGGTCTCTTGGTCCCTCTTCATCCTCCTAGGCGTCTTCATCCCCATTCCCTCCCATTTCGTCCTCTCCTGCGCCCCCACCCACTACGCCTACGATGTGGTAGTCTAGCTCTCCCTCACACCCGTCTTCGGCCTCTCTTACCTCTACCTCTCCGCCTTTGTCTGCTACTACGGCCTCTATCGTTTCCTCTTCCTTGATAAGTTAGTCGAGGAGAGCGAGCGGGTATGGGAGGGTTATATGGACCAACTCAACTACTCCTTCCACTTGTCCTTTGTCCTCATGATGTCGTGCTTCGTTGGGGAGGTGTCTTATAAGGTATGGTGGTACTCGTCGGGATCAAAACTGGTGCCATCCACAGTGGTGGGTGACATGGTGGCATGAGCCCTAGAGCTGGCAAGTTGAATCTACCAAATGTCACTCACCAGCTCCAAGGTGCATGCCACCATGAACGACACTCACTCCGATCCTAATGAATATCATCATACCTTGTAAGTCATCTCCCCCACGAAGCATGACATCATGAATACAAAGAACAGGAGGAAGGAGCGGTTGAGCTTGTCCATGTAGCCCTCCTGTACCTGCTTGCTCTCCCTGACCAACTTATCAAGGAAGAGGAAACAGCGGAGGCCGTAGCAGAAGATAAAGGTGGAGAGGTAGAGGTAGAAGAGACCGAAGGTAGAGTTTAGGAAGAGATGGACTACCATATTGTAGGCGCGATAGGTGAGGGTATAGGAGAGGACAAAGTGAGAGGCAATGGGGATGAAGATGCCTAGAAAGAGGAAGCGGAACCAAGAGACTAGTGCATGCCTAGCATCGAACCGATGCACATCCACCTGAGACAAGACCAAAAGCTCTTAAGCTCGTCATCAACATGGGAAAGGTTATGTGCGTACGATGCCTTGCTAAGCAACAGCGGCTCGGTGCTATTGTTGATGGTCGCTTTCATAACAACGCCTCTTCCCGCCATTGATCAAGATCTCAATTTAAAAAAAAAAAATATATTAGTGATTTATTATAAGTCAATATATCAAGTAAGTAGACTCTGACGTCTATTAACTTAGAGTTAACATAAGGGACTTATATGTTATGTTTTTGAAAACGTATAGGTTACTTTAGATGTAAGTAAACCGTAAGGGTTTAAGAGATCCATGACCAAAACCGGGTTAAAATTGATTTATAACTCTAAATTATACATGTTATTATATTAATGATTTCTTGTGAATCAAAACTTATATATTTTATTTCTAAAAATATAAGAATTATCTTAAACATGAGAAAACTATAAGTGTATGATGAATCACATAAGTTAAAATAAACCTATACTAAGTTCAGCCAAATCCATATACCACCCTGCCATTGATCTTGCGATTGAATTGGATTAAAACGGTTGGTTTGACACATTTGACGATCAATAACTACCTTAGCAATGATCATTTAATAGAATAAGAAGTAATCTTTACCGTGACATCGTGGCTCAGTAATAGCTTGAAACTTACATTTAACTCGAGAATAAGGTTGACTCAGGATTAGCTCCGAATTCGTCCAAGAATCAAACGGATCCAATCGCCACATCACGATCGTCCATCATTTGGGGTGTCTCACACGCCATCGCCGTTGGACCCAACAACGAGCTCGAAGCGTCTTCTATCATATCCACATATCCATCAAATGGGCTCGTCCTCGGCCCATGAACACACCCCTCACTACACGACGCACCAAGACAGCCACAAACAAGGGGGATAAAACTCTCCTGGTGCTTGATCGAACACCTCGGCCTCAAACCCACACACCGACCGGAGGAAGCAAGCAAGCCGAAGTCGCCGAGGCGATGGCGCTCTCTCTCAACACCCCCTTCCTCCCCACCGTCTCCATGAAGCCCTCCTCCGCCAAGCTCCCGCTTCCCGCCCAGGTAAACATCTTCTTGAATTGGTGGATTGGTTCATGGGCCGTGGCAATCCCATAGGGTGATGACTGCTGTCGTTTGTTTAGGTTGGCGGAGGGAGATGGGTGTGCCGGAAGCAGGGCGGGGTGCACCCGGAGTTCTACGAGGACGCGAAGGTGTACTGCAACGGGGAACTGGTGATGACGACGGGGGGCACGCGGAAGGAGTACGCGGTGGACGTGTGGTCCGGGAACCACCCCTTCTACCTGGGTAGCCGCTCCGCCCTGGCGGTGGAGGACGACCAGGTGGAGAAGTTCCGCAAGAAGTACGGCGAGCTCTCCTCCCTCATGGAGATCCCCGTCCTCAAGCACGGCGAGATCGTCCTCCCTCAGAGGAAGAAAGGCTCTGCCAAGGGCAAGGGCAAGAAGTAGTAATCCCTATCGACCCAGTTGTTGTCTCTTCTTCTTGTTCTTTATGCTGGTTTGGCTTAATTAGAATGGCTTGTCGACATCTCTCGACGGACATATGCCTGAATGCTAATATCTCTTGATGGCTGTTTGGTTCACAAAGGTGGAACTTCTTTCGAGATTTGCATCCAAAACCCTGACTTTGATGTGTGTCAGGCTTGCGGGAGCTCGATGGTCTCATAATGGTCTGTTCTTGTGATTGATCTCGGTGCCGGTACATGCGCAATTGACTTGCTTAATTCTTTTTGTTAGATGTCAGTTGTTGTGTATCTCATGTTGTTATGCACATCTATTGCTTGCAAACTTCGTTGTAGTCTGTCTAAGCATTCCTCTTAGAATTCAAGTAATCCCATCAGTTATGGTGATCCTCCATGGGGTAGCATACATGATTGGCTACAATTTGGGTTTAAGATCGAATGCTGCATGTTATATATCGTCTTTGTCTTCAGTTTGTAGCCAATTAAATCGATCCAAAAGTCAGTAGTATGTTAAGAGTTCAGTGATAAGCCTGTTCTGAGACGAGGGGGGGGGGGTTTGCGGCGGGGAAAGAAAAGGTAAAAACTACTAGCACTCATCTCATAGAGATAAGCTTAAGACACTGATTATTCTATCTTGATCTTGATGTATGCTTGGCTTAATTAGAATAAAATTTTAATTTCCTTTTCTCTTGGTTAATATCTCTTGATTAACATGTAATGGCTTCCATTACCCTGTAAGCCTGAATGTTAATATCTTATCTCTTGATGATTGTTTGGCAGAATGATGTTCAAAACCCTAACACTGGATGTGTTGGGCAAAGCATTATTTGATCTTCTCATATTAGTCTCTTCTTGTTTGCTTTCTTAAAATTAGTCGATGTACTATCAAATGGCTCACATTTTTTTTCAGATGGAATTTTTGTTTTTTGATAGTCTTATATTGTTGAAAAAAAAACATGGGGGTTTCTCCTCTTCCAGGTTGTAAAATTTTGTTCACATAAAACTTCTATATAGTTTGGTCCTTTTCGTATAAGCACCTTCTTAACAGAATATCTAGCCAACCTCGATTCTTCGATTCATGTAGTCATTTTTAAGGAAAGTAAGATGTGTGGTATGTCTTTGCCTGTTTCTGTAGGTATTTCATATTGATGCCACCTCTTAACAGATTGATTGCAGAACTTACATGTCCACCAAAACTCAGCATGAGGCAACCTTGCTGCATCGTCCCACTTTTCCCCATCCTACATACACAAAAATGAAAATGAAAAATAAATCGCTCTTCTTTTTAATGACATGGAAACTGTGACTGGGTAATGTTGTTAGAAAAAACATAGAACGGTTTGTTTTTTCGTTGACGTGTGAGTCGAGATGATGATAGATAGGTAAGCGAAAAAGTGCAAGTTCTCATTATCTAAGCAAAGCTTGAGCAGTTGCCGACTTCCGAAACCTAAGTTCTAGTGCTTTGCCGTAAGTCTCAGGTTAGAACTTTATTGTTGCAAGTTCTTAGTAATGTTTTCATGCGCCCGTAGTTTTTTAGTTGATTGTGGATTCTAATTAATTCATGAACTCCAGAGAAGATTTGCATACATACTGCTATCAGCATCAATCTTGCTTGGTAGGTGTCAGACATATTTCGAAGCACTTGGGAGGTACCCATTAGATCTTTTCCATACAATATGTAAGTGAACCCCTCTGCCGTTACAGCTTTAAAGCATATAGTTTTTTTTTTTTTTTCATTTAGCTAATCTGTGAGTTACATACTTATGATCTCTTAGCTACTGTGCTATTATGGACATCCGAAGGTCTGTTGGTATAGGGATTGAGGGTGTATATTTCATTCAAGAAATCATTTACGGCCAAACATTGCAGGATTATTTTGTGAAGAAAAAGAAATAGAAAAACTTCGAAAACAATTATGCGAAAATAAAAGTCCAACTATAATGTTCAGTATTTAATGGTTCAATTAAAGGTCAGAATGGAAAGGTTTGATACAGGTATGGTACTATATATTTTTTTATCCTTGGGAGCAGGTGTTGAGCAATCAGATCAAAGTTATTCTCAACCTAGTACAGGATGGATACCAGAGAAAAAGGTCAATAGGTTGACCAAATGGTAACGGACCAGGATTTATATCCAGGTATCATGAAAGTGACTATGAGTAAATCTCAGACAAACAAATATTTAGTTAACATGATAAATAGGTACCAACAGCTGTTTAAACCAAGGTTTGTAATATCGTACCGTACCGATATTTTGACCTGGGCTCGGTATCGGTATGATACGATGTACCGAGCGGTACACTCAGGTTCACCGAGCACTATAGTATTGCTACAGTGCATTGCTATAGTACTATAGTGCACTGCTACATTGCGGATCGGTACCGAACGGTCCGTGTACCGCTGATCTATCGGACTGGTATGTACCACCCGTACCGGGTGGTACGATTCGGTATGACAGACCTTGGTTTAAACAATGTGCATGTGTGGTAGTACAAAGCAAAATTATGCAACTTCGCAAGGTACAGAGTATTTCAACCACAGGTATGCATCTTCAACCTAAATATTAGATATCTCAAGAGATTAGGTGCTTTCCAGGTTGCATACTCAATTATACCTCTTGTCATCCACTCTACTCTTACCATTCAAGCCTATCAAATCAAATTGTATGTATACATACACCAATGCACCGGTCGATAATGCTCGTTTTAATGTTTCAATTTCAGTTTCTCCACACCTTAAATGCTGCTATTTGGGAGTTTATTTCAGAATAAGAAGACATCAGTCATATATATATATATATATATATATATATATATATATATATTGTCCATCGAACTATGATCTCTGATAAATTTTTAAACGAGAACAGCTCGGATATATCGACCGTAGGTAGGTAGGTCTTTGGTCTTTAATTTTCTGGAACGGTTATGAGGATTTCAAGTGCACTAGATATTTATATAGATTCGAATGTATATAAATGAGTGTAAATTTGAGGTATACCTGAATCTATATCATAGCAACAACCTATTTCTATATCTTTAACATTGTTACGGGATGCCAAGCGGTGATAGACTCGGGAAGCAAAGCAAAGCATCTGAAGCTTTTTTTTGTAGTAAACTAGTTTTAAAATTGATAAAATTTTAAGGTCATGGATCCATCCCAGCTTTATGATCTTCAAAATAATTTTGAAGGTGGAAGAAATATGTGGAAAGTTGTTGGATATCAAGGTTGAGACATCTTAAGCTAAGCGACTTGGCAACTCGCAAAGTATCCACGGATTCTTGCCACAGACTTACATCAATGTACCTTAATACTTACTGAGAGTAAGGGAGAGTCATCAAGTGTTTTGAATTGTTGCTCAGATGAACAATTTTTATCCAAGCATCCTCTGAAGACCATCCAACAAATAGTATATGAACCCCAATATATTGTCATAAAAAAGTTTTATCCCAAGTCCAACCATATTTGGCGGTGATGATCACTATACTTCCTGTTCCACCCACATATAATAAATAGGTTGTGCTTTAGTTGATCTCACTTGCCTTAAGTTTAATAATATAACTGTCGGAGTCGATCGTGATCCATTCAAGTTTTTGCATTTGCCTTGCGCTTGTTCTTCGGTAAGGTTGCCTAGAGGGAACTAAGAAATTGCCTCTAGTGCAAGAGCGAGGAAAAGCACATCATCAGAAAAATCCTGCGTCAGAAGTTGGATTAAGCGTAATCCATAACACCCAAACCATAGAGAAAAAAAGGGACCATGTACATTAAGTCTGCAAGTGGGAGCTGTTGTACCGAAGCATCGACGGTCTCCATTCGGTCACTCCAGTGCCAGAGTAAAACACCACTTCCAGTGCCAGAGAAGATAAGTTATTACAATGAAATAGTGAATAGGGAGGGGTACAGCTTTATGTACGTAGACCATATCAAACATAATCAGTCTTCCGGAACGGAGTTTATCCTTTTATTTTTTTTGCCTATGTTGCTGGTGCGAAGCCAACTCTCAGATTGCCATAGTCGAATACGGTATGATAAACTCCCATGAAGACATCTCCCAGTATCCTGCAGCAATATTACATGTCAGAAGACGTTGCACGCACGATTCCACATAAATTTATATAATATACACACCAGAGAGGGCCTCGTGGTGGTGGAACATCCAAGGCTGTGAACCCGCTGATGCACTGTGCTGCAGTGCCCTGGCCAACCTTGAGAATGTACTGCAGGCACCAACGATTAGGGTGAGACGATTGCCAATGTCAACTAAAGCTGTCTATGAAGACATTAAAGCAAAATTATCTCTACATTTTTCTGCATCTGACAAGAACAACTCCAATTCTACACATGTAACTTTGCATTTTGTAATTTATGCATTCCACTCCAACTCCAATTCTACATTTTTCTGCATCTGACAAGAACAACTCCAATTCTACACATGTAACTTTGCATTTTGTAATTTATGCATTCCACCTTATTAATTATGATACTGTGTCCGGTCCTTATAATCAAGGTTCTCAATTTCAGTCCGTACCGATATACCGAGCCCTATTCGATACAGGGCATACCGAGGTATACCGACAGTACATCGGGGCATATCGACAACACATCTAAAAAGAACTAAAAAAATCTCCAAAAATATCTAGAGGTAATGATCCAAAAATACCGGGACATACCAACCGATATGCCTCGGTAACAATCGAATTTTGACCGTTACCACCTGGTACAAACCTCGTATCGATTCCGCCTAGTGGAGAGTGATCCACATACCAGTATATTCTTGGACCGATACATACCACTCGTACCGGACGATACACATCGAAGTTGAGAACAGTGGAATTTAATCATATTATACAGGAACACAGAACTCATAAGAACATTCTGGAAAATTACTAAGAACAGGATCATACCTGCTCTGGTTTAAGCTCAAATGTCTTATCACCGATAGTGAAAGAGACACTGGGCATGGAAGCTACAGATGCACAATCCACAGATGATTCTCCCATCGGGCTAGGCAGTCGCTCACATAGCTGTAGGTAGTTCAAGACACAAGTAAAATAAATAACTAAGAAGTGAAAATAGCAAATGGTTCAGAATAATCTGACCTCGTTGATGTAATTTAATATGCTTTCTTGTGTCTGGTTCAGTCTTAGCTGATTCTGCATCCATACAACTGCCATCTCACAAGCATGGCACATACCATCACTATGCAGACCAGCTGAAGCATCCTCATTCTCATTGATTACACTCTCAATGCCAATGCTACATAAATAGAATACAAATAAATACATAAATTATGTGAATAACAATCGCAAAAGAGAAGAAAATATTATCACAAAAGCTTACAAGCTTAAACAAAAAAAGTCTAAGAATGACAGCTCACCTAACTCCATGAGTTCCATCAAATGTACACAGACCAACCTGAGAGCAAATTTTAGATGGTTGTGTCTGCCAAAATAAACCAGGATTAACAGAATGTTCTTTTTCTGATTCACAAATTGATTTGTGCAAGATAGACAAAATAAATGTCTAAGGCATCTATAAGTTCATCCATTTCTTCAGACCTGTGACATCAACTTTGCAAGAATCTGTTGCCCATATTGAGCTACTACTGCCTTGCACTCTTGGGAAACCACACCAGAAGCTCCAATTTTTTGATTAATTTCTGTAATAACAGTCTGCAAAGAAGATGCAGTTAAATTTTGTCATCAACAAAGTCTGTTTTAAAATTGCTCTATAATCAGTGGTTCAAAATGCACACTTTTATCATCAATGGTGGAATGAATTGAAAGTTTATTGCACAAAATTTGACTTTGGTGATGATTTGACAAGCCCACAGCACTAGATATTCACAGCCAGGAAACTTTGTGACACCAACATCACAAGTAACCTTAATAAGTGTAAAGCTTTCCAACCTGAATAATGTTTTTTAATTAAAAGCTAAAAAATAAAGGTCTATTTCATCCCTATTAAAAGAAGTAAGATAACACCAAATGGACAAGTGTCAAGTGCCTATTGCATTATCTTTAGGGAAACTATCATGGGGTCAATAACATAAAAATTTTGCTCTGCCTTTGAACTATAAGCACTTCATCTCCATTGGAGATGTGGACTATAACCAATATATGGATATACAAAATTTTAATATGCAAAAGTCAATGCTAAAGATTAATAGATTGCAACATAAATAAAGTAGCCACTATGAGTTCCAAAAAAATATACAAAGTGTTAAGAGAGACAGCGCATCAAGCAAGAATGAGAATATCAGTATCAAGAACCGGCAAAGGTTCTTCTAAATATCAAAATTCTGTTTCAATTTAATCTTTAATTTAAATAACTTAAGCTGACTTAAGTTTAATCAACTTATTTCTTGGGGAAAAAGCAAGAAAACAAATTGTACTTTAACAAACTCAGCATGGAAAGAGTACTACAATGACAGTTTATGGGTTCAGAATAAAGTTATCCATCTACTAGGAGTACAATGAATTCTATATGTATATTTTGTTCACCCATTAAGTTAATGAAATTTGAGATGTAACCAAATCTCATATGAACAGAATCTGGAAATAAGGCTCAGATAGAAAGTCACTCTGAATGTGGTCTAAAACACTATAGTTACAGGGAAAATTGTCTCCATGTTCTTGGACAAATTTTTAAGGTACATCAGGAAGATTTCTTTCCTGAGAAGTAGACTTCTATAAATTTAGTGACCAAATGAAATCTCTGATCACAAACGATAACCCAACAGTAGACTATGCACATTACCTGCTACATATACATTAGTCGATGATGGTTGCTTACAGGTAATGCTGCCATGGAACTGAAAATGCAGGTAATTTTTTCTCTACAAATTATGAAGCTTCCAATCTTAGAGTAGATTCATTTCCACAGACTTGGTGTTCACCAAGCTATCAAAGATTTTGAGAGCAAATTCAAACACAACATTGGTTGTTAAAACATTAAACATAAGGCATCCTTGACTAGTGATATTTATAACAACATCTAGATTGCACACTACAGCTGAACAATGGACACCTTAACCAGACCGTTTTGACAAATGCAAATTATTTTAAGCATGTAGTATACTCAGGAAAAATCTTGAGTTGTGTCCCCTGAAATACTTTTCTGAAATCTGTCCAAACCTCAGAAAATGATACTAAGACCACAAGATGACAAAGAGTATTTTAGAAGCTTTTACGCCACAAATATTTTAGAGTATTTTAGAAAAAATCCACCACAAATCTCTATTTATAAGTGAAACATTAGATTCTACAGCCGCAGCATTCAAAAGAAGATATGAAAAAATGACAATTTATGTAATATACAGACTTTAAAGTCATAATAAAAATTGAACCCAGTAAAGGTAAAAGGGAGCATAACAAGAAGTCTTATTAGAAATTACCAACATAGGAGGACCAGAAAATTTCCATTTACAACAAAAAAAAAACTTAGGACATTAAGATAAATTAAGAGAGAAATTTTAGGCATATGAAGAATTCAAAACTATCAATGCAGATGGTCATCACATGAGTTTGCTATAGATGCTTCCATTAAGACATTTGGAACAAATAACAGAAACCAGGATGGACACAATATCAGAAAGTTGACACTAAGCATACCGTTGGACCAGCAATCAAAGATGTTCCAGAATCTGCAATTGCCGCACAACCACCAGCACAAAAACCTGATAAACAGATAAAATATACAAAAATATATCATGGGTTAGAAGAGGTAGAGAAAAAAATAACTGCTGACAACAGAATAAACCAGTCCACTTGCAATACCAGTAGATTCATCACCAATAAGCACATCTCCCATGTTAAACTGACAAAACAATTATAGGAATAACATATCAGTTGGTAAAATCAGTAAATTCTGTAAGCTATGTGCATGAATCTGTATCCAATTAATGAAAACACAAGCAGAATTCAGAAATACCCACCTGCCAGTAACCTTTCTGTGTAACAGGAACATAGACATGATCACCCTCATAATGATTTGGGTCAACTCCTCCAAAGACAATTTCACCTCCTTCCCCTTCCTCAGCATTTCGGTTAAACCAGAATGAGAAAACAGGTTCTTTAATAAGACCTTGCTTGACCAAATTATACCTACAAGGTAGAATTTGTTAGTTGAGTTGACCAAATTAAACACTTCTTTCATCAGTAATCACACTATGAATACAGAAGTTCAACAAGACATTATCATTACAAAATTGGAAGAGAGCAAATTTATTCATTAAGCAAACAAAGTGAATCAGGTATTGTTCAACTCTACCCAACATTATTCAACAAGGAACCTTTCAAAAGCATCATAGTTGATGCCATAAAGGACTCCTTGAAAGCATTTCATCTATGAAAATATAAGCACCAGGTCCTTCTCAACTTCAACATATCTAGTAAAAACACATGCTTATTTAATGTTCCATTGTCACCGTTAAGTAACCTGAACTAATGTGCACCTTCACTTTGGAGATGATCGGCTGATATTTCTCATTTTAAAGATGTTAAGAAAGAAGAATTAATTCCTTTTTGTAAAATTTTACAGTTAAACACAACTACAAGCTATCTTTTCAGATGCATCTAGTATTTCATCAGTTCTTGCTAGCAAACAACTTGCAGATTCACCACATTTTCCAGCAGATAAAATAGAAAAATTGTTTGCAATCACTCAGAAACTAATATAATCCATGGTTTTAGTTATATAAATTAAATCGAATGAAATTTCCAGAAAGAATGTTTTTTAACACAAGATTTTGTTGTTTTTCTGGAAACTTGCATGGATGAAAGTCTTAAAGAAATTACAAATTCATTGTCTACAACTGATAGTTCTAGTAATCATATGCCCAATTGTTAAAAGAAATCTTGATTCATGTATACACATTATATGGTGCTATGTCCAGCATGTAGATAACAAATGAAGGGCTGCTAAATAAGTTACAAAATCATACAAAGAAAGCAGTCTACTGTATATGCTAAGCTTGAATGCACTATGGAACTTCATAAAATTGTTACAAACCACATCCTCACCAATCTTCAACAAATCAGCCTGTAATTTATTGGGTTCATTCTGGTCTTATTCATATTGGTTGGGTGCCTTGAAGACCCAAGTTGGACCACATCCAATAGCTGTGCAGTTTGGTTGTCACTTCCAAGGTTTAAGAGTGGATTCTGTTCACTTTCAATTCTGGAGAGCTTCTTGTTATGATCCTATTCACAGATCCAAACTTGGCATCAATGTTTGCTATCATCATTTGGCACAGATTGTAGATGTGCCAGACAAGATTGGAACGACTTGTCTTACATTTGGTGGGTTTCAGCCACTACATGAGCTCACATTTCCAGGAATACCTACAGCTAGGCGAATTATCTGGAGGGCCTTGGATCACATATATGGCTTTGTGGCCTTAAAATTATAAACAAGTCCGAGGCAAAAATTGACAGGTGAAACAAGGCCATAATGGAAACTTACTGGTGCTTTTTATGTATTTTCTCACCCTTTTAGTGGATATTGAAGAGTCTTTATAGTATAGTTTGGACTTAATTTGTGTCTAATAATCCTAATATGAGCAGAAGTTAGGCAACTTATTTTGCTATTGGGACTTATATATTGAGAGTTAAGAGAATTAGGAAGTTACTGAACGATGGGGTTAGCTTTTCTCAAACAATTCATCCAAGTTAACTTGTAAGTCCAAGAGGCATAATTAATGTCTGATATTTTTCATTATTGCAATATAGCTATCTTCTTCCCTCTAATGTATTGGAAGTTAAGAGACCTAATTGGTGTTTTAAGTATTCTTTTTTGTTTTTATATTGGGTTGGACAGGATGACCCAAAACGGCGTGATCCGCGTACCAATCCACACTCAGACTAGTACGTACCACCCCTTTGATACTGGTTTGGGCAAAACAGACTTCTTTGCAAATCAGAGTTATATTTTTTGCACAATAATACATGTTTCACGATAATTCACTAATTAGTTTTGCTAAAAGATATTTGGCAAATATAGTTGTACCTTTTTCACATTTTCTAGAAGTTATGATTTTAACTAAGTGAAAATTGACACAAGCCCTTCAACAATAAGTTTTATCAAAGAATATTGAACAGTTATGGTTTTTCTCTTTTGACACTTCTGTTTTTATTATTTGGTATCATTTCAATATTTCAACTAAATTATCGAGACAGAAAGCTCATATTATTAAACAAAAACAGCAACAATTAAATGGTTCTAAGTAAAAAAAAAAACCTATTCAATTTTACAAGCAACTATCATGAGAAATTATTTGGAATGGGAATAAAAACGAAGCAATAGACAAGTACCAGACAGGTGTAACATCCCCAACTGATATTTCCTTAAATCCAAGTCCAAGTATGCCATCAAATTTTGCAGCGAGGAATGTGACCCCTGGCTCTCTGGTGGCTTCAATAAAATCCTGAATGGATTATCTCTTATAAGTCAATTAAATCACAAAACATACAAAGGGCTACAACAGGAGAGTTTGAGGTAGAAGAAATTATCAAAATGTATGACCTGATCTTTAACAACCAAGTCACCAAGAGCAACATGATCTCCACTAAAGAAACCAGAAATTGATCCAGTACCATAATGGATTTCTGCAGTCTTCCCTGCTCAAGACAAAAAAATGTACAATTAGAATATCTTCTTCAATATATAACAAAAGATATAACAAGCTTGAACAAGTTAAGGTAGATTTGCCAAGGAAGTTTGATGGTGTAAAGGGCAATTAGGTGATTCATGTGAATGCTTCTTGTAAGAAAGTCTTTTGCAAGTTAAAAAGAACTTCAGAAAGATACAAGAAACAAAAAACAGAAGATTGATATTGTAGATGCATCCTAATGAAGTACATGATATCAACATGAATACATTCAAATACCAGATTTGAAGAACTTGATATTTTGAATCCAGGAGTTGCTTTCAAATGGTGAAAATAAAGGTGTGTTTTAATTTTCAAGCCAAGAATCATGTCACATGGTAAAGATTACTAGTTGGTTCTCCCTGACAATCCTTTACACATTTAACATGCAAACCAACAAATCTCCAATATAAGTAGATTGCCACTGTGGCTACAATTAAAATTATGTCCATAATTCATTTTTTTGAAGAAGTTTAATGATACATTTCTTTCATGCAACACATGAACCGTCCGAACATCAAATGTTAGACACAGAAAGGAGTACAGGAACTCAAAGAGAACAACGATACAAGAAATTGTAATGCATTTCATGCCAGAGACAAACCATTCTTCTCATAGGTGCTTGATTGGCTCGACTTGTACTTGGAATGGAAATAGCAAGCAATCTACAAAATATAGTTAGAATATGAATTAGCCATCTCGTAAACTGAATAATATTAAATTTTATAACCAAAGAGACACAAAGCTCACCGAGAAGTAGCATTTTGAAGAAGGAACCCACAGGTTCGAGCTACCCGTGTCAAAAATCACGGTAAACTTCTGCGCAGGGGTACCAATGCCAATCTCCCCAAAGTACTGCGCGTTCATGTAGTTCTTGAGAGAAATAATGTCCGCATCTTCATCATTACTCTCAAGACCGCCTCTTAATCCGTACCTTGGCCCCATCAAAGCCTTCCCTTCCTTCTCCAAAAGTCGGCCAGCAAGCCGGCTGTTCTCATCCAAAGCTTTTTTCCTCAACCCAATGCGAATCAAGCCATCGGCGGCAGCGGAGGCCGAGAAAACCAATGAAAGCACCAGGACCGATAGCAAGAGAGGAATCGCGAAGCCTCCACGCGCCGTCGCCATGATTACCTGAGATCACGATGACGAAACCCTAAACTTCCTCAATCCAGGCCATTATCGGAGAATATAACAAAATATCAGAGAACGACGGGATTGCGGTGCAAACAAGATCAAGAAACGGCATAGAACAAAAATCCCTCAACTAACCTAGAAAGAAACAATTACAAAAAGATTCCGAGATCGAACATACCGATGAAGGGGAATGAGGTCGAGAGTGGAGGCGACGGGAGAACGGGAGCAGTTTCCTGTTTTAAAAGCAGAAGATGGCACAACCACCTTTCAAGACAACGAAGCTCCATTCGACCTACCGGTCTTTCGTCTAAAAAAAGTCCGTAGACGACGGAATCGTGTACTTATCGTGTCAACCGTTCGATCCCGCCTCTGAAGCGATTCGAACGTCCGATGGGATGCCAACCACAATCTGTGGCGGATCCTCTCCAATTATTGTACGGCAAGAAATACGATCGTATGGTTTAAAATTAAAGTTGAAACAGGTGGAACCTGTGGATCTCGAAATTGAAAGCTTCTCCTTTAGAACCATAGTTGGAAAGGATCCAATACGCTCTTTCTGCGGCAATACGACGTTCATGCTCCGTCGTGATGGTGCGACTCGGTTACCGTTCAGGATCCGACGGTTCAGAAACGCTCGTGGTCGGTTTCCGAGGCCTGAACGGCCATCGTTCGGGATGCGACATGGAATAGGTTATATTTTAAGGCGAAAATCTAACGAAACTCGTTCGACGAACCATCAGTTATACCAGGTAGGTGTCGTGTGGGGTCACGCAGGCAGGCAGGCAGGCAGGCATGCGTACTAAGTGTCGTTTGCGTGTACCATAGACTAACTTACTTGCAAAAGACAAAAGAATAATAATAGGATATCTGGGTCCCACCGCACGTCAGAGAGAAGGGAGACAAAAGGGACGTTTAGGAGTGCTTATCGAGACGAGGAGTTTGGGTGTCGTACAAGCAAAGAATGGGATGGGGGAGGCCGCAAAGGACTCTACGAACGGAAATGGGCTCCGCAAAGGGCGGAAGTGTTGCGGTTGGCATGGGATGGAGGTGAGTCGGAGAAATAGACAGTGGATTTGTGAATTGCCGAGAATGACAAGTAAATTTTCTTCTATATCAATTTAAATCGACTAGCTGTGGGTAGCTCAAGTTCTTCCCAATCCAATTCGAGTACTTACTTGTCTATTCGTACTTATTTTATAGAATTCGATTATAACATGCATCAGCAATTGGTATCGTAAGGCAAATTGTATTCTATATGAATTTAAATGAAAGTTTGCTATTTGTATTTTTTTATTGACAACTCCGGAGTTGGTAATTCTTGAAAAAATAATAAAATTATATTTTATTATTTACGATCCCTCGATTACTAATCTTATTATTTTTATTTGCAACAACACCTTAACATCGCTCATCGCTTTGCTTGAAGAGAGGACATGGTGAGGTAGCTAGAAGAGCAATGTGGGCAAAACTTTCCCAATCTCCTCAATCATACTTGTGAATAAGAGAATGAGGTATTTTAGGAAAGAGGAGGAAAAGAAGAAAAGAAAAAAAAGCTAAGTTCATTTGTAAAAAGGTATCTTAGGAATATTAAAATTTTTAAAATTATGTTGTAAATAGTAAAGGTTATTACTATATGTCAAAAAAGTGTTTATGCCGAAAAGGAAAATGCATAGGACTTCTTCTTGATTTATTGCAAAAAATTAGATGATATAGAGAAGTTTGCCGATCCAAAAATATATTAGATTAGATAATCCATTAGATTAGATTAACTATAAATTTAACAATAAATAATGAAAGTCATGTAACTATTCGTTTAACCTTATAAAGTCCTTAATTTTTTTCTTTTTTTCTTTTATCTCTATACGTAAGGTGCTTATTGAATTTCTTTTAAAACTTTTCTCTTCGTGAGATGTCAGGATTTGTTCATTGTTCATTTTCAAATTAATCAACTTGTTATTTTATAGGTCTTTCGGGATCTGCATGAGGTTATAAATAGGTTGATCATTTATGAATGCATATATAGCAATGACGCCTCATGGTTTACATAATTCCAACTAAGTTCGAGAAGTTGGCATAAATATGCTTCACGATTAAGATAACTTCAACTAAGTCCGTGACAAATTACTGTAATGATACATCACGACTTAGACAATTCTAACTAAATTTATGACATTGTAAGTTAAAATTGAGATTGACAAACTTTCATGAGGCATGCTCATAGTTATTTTTGTTTCACATCGTATCGTTGGCTTCCATATTTTGATTTGTTGTAAATACAATTAAAGTGATTCTGTATTGGATATACATAGTTATTTTATGGGTGACGGCTCTTTACGCTATTCCTATTAGAACATTTATATACTTAATATTAATTAAGTGTAACTAAAGAAATTGTAATCGATTATATCATATTTGGATCGTATGTCCAAGGTACAAGACTAGAGTCATATGATAATGCCGTAAATTCTCGGGAAGGACTTTGGTGGTTCTTGAAGGGCAAAGAAAAATTAGAGAGGTGTAACAAGTCAGGACAAGCCTTAAATGAACATGCAAAATAGAAAGAACACATCATACCTTCTCAGAGTAGAAGGTAACACAGTTTCCAATTTCCACCTGTATATAGATAGAAGAAAAGTAAGCGAGCATTTTCATAACTGCATAATGCCCCAAAATCTTATCAAACTTATCAGATCTGTAACATCGAGTCTCTGCATCATCATCTCAAATGTATCCAAGACAAAGCCAGTGTGAGTTTCCCAGTTTTCACTAACATTTTCAATTGCCACAAGTGCTTACCTACTGATGAATCTCGTGCACCTTCTCTTTGAGAAAAAGAAAAAGGAAATCGCAATGGTGTACCATCTCAAACGTCTACAGCATTTCTATGCATCCAGTTGGTTTCCTGCATGCTTTCCAGGGCAGTGCAGACGGATGCACCAACATCGGACCAACTTGCAGCTCCAAGATCAAGTGTCAAAGACGCTAGTAGCGTCATCTCAGCTGTATAGGCTCAAATGTAGGTTCTTTGAAGGGGCAGGCATCCACCAAGTCGTTATGAGCTCAATGTCAACGCCATCCGATGCGTTGGGCACGCGCCACAGTTTCTCTTGGACGCTCTTCAGCGAGGTCGGTATCCAGAATTCTTCAAAAACAAGTCATCTTCTGCAGGACACCTGCATTCATCAGCAAGAACTGTACGAAAGGAATCGACAGCGGCAGAATCCTGTCCAGGTAAAGAGTAGCTGTCCGGAGCCGATTCCCGAGTCTACTGGCGCTGACGGAGTGTACCATCTGCCGGAACCTGCCGTAGTGTACGTCATTTGTAGTCTGCTTGTGGAAGCTCGTCAACGGGCTGTCGCGGCTGCATATGATGCTGCGCACTGTTTCGAAAGTGGGAAGGGCGCCGGCTTGGCTGAAGTCGATGCGGAAGCGAGGAAGTGAGGGGAATAGGCCCTTCCACCGCTTGGAGAGCACGGCCGTGGCGGCAGCGTCGCCGATTGGTAGCTCAGACAGAATGGAGAGGAGAAGCTCGTCGGTTAGTCCGCTGATACGATCGCTTCTTCGCTCCCTCCCCGCTGCCCGAGACATGCTTCGGAGCTCCCTCTCCCCCTCTCTCTCTCTGTTACGGAGACCCAACAACTTTGGACCGCTTGCAAAGCTGGGAATCGTTTGGGAATGGAGCAGTTAAGTTTGTTACAAGCCAAAAGAAAAAGTAGATATAAATAAATAATAAAATTGTAAATATACTAATATAATTCCTTTGGAAATGAAATATAAAAACATAAAAATATAAAGTAAAAAAAAATCAAGAAATACTTGTTAATATTAATAAGCACATAGACAACATGGGAATGCTAAAAAAGTAGTAGTGCACTGACTCTCAAATACTTTTGATGGTGAGAGATTACGTAACTTGAGTTGGTCGATGATTACGTAGCCTACACTTTTGGTTCTCATATTTTCTGTTAGGTTCTTTGGCTTTATTAATTCAAGAGAATCACAATACTGAGTAATATAGCACCGTTCATTGTTGGATTGTAGCAGAAAAACTCATTCACAGTACACTTGAGCGTATCAATTTGACCAAAATAGATTATGTTCATTATGTTAGGCAGAAAGAGATGTAAAAAGCTAGAGTAGATATCATTACAACTTTCAACTGACGCAGAAAGAATAATAAAAAGGAAGAAAACAGTAGAATCATACTCGAGAAGAGCACATCCGATAGACTCACGATCGAGTGGAACAGAGGAGCTTGTATCAAGACTTCCCAGATGGTGGAGGAGCTGTGTATAAAGATCTTAGCTGCCTGTCTATGAGCTTACTGTGGTGTAGAGCCTGTTGGAGTTCCATGTCATCAGACCACCATTGCTCCAATCCATGAGCTTCAAGAAATTTCTGCGGCCCCTTGTTCATGACAAAAAGCTTTGCCACTACCTCTCCTGGACTGTTGATCATCTTGGCCTTGTCTGAGCTAACATCAGTAGCGACAACAGCGCCAGAAGGGTCAGTGTAGTAACAACAGATATAGTCACTGTTATTTACATATAAATGTGGCACCCATTTCTTTATCTCATTGCAGAACATCTTCCCTCCATTTACAGGAGCATTCTCTTCGCCATCAACTGCAACTTGGACTTTTGAAGGCAAACTGTCCTTAATTTTCTTCCAGAGAAAGCCAGCTTTTTCACCGATATTTCTGAAGCTCATTGCTAATGACACCGAGGGTGGATTAAACAAATGGCACTCCACAAGAATCCCCTCTTTGGCCAATGCTTTTCCCACTTGTAGAGCAAAGCCAGCTCCCAAGGAATGCCCACCGATACACACATTGTTGCTCCCAAATTTGTCAACCATCACCTTAAGTGCTTCGAGAGCTCCATGAAACCTGACCGAACCTTTCAAGCTTTCCCATGCCAGGAAGCGGAGATCATCCTCTAAATCTCTTCTAATGGTTGGACTCTTCAGTAAAGTCCCCCTGAGTGCCAGAACAGCCCTGGGTGCACCAGCCGGTCTCATCAATATAAGTTCTGATAAAGCGGCAGATCGGTCCCATTCTAAAACTGCACCGTATATGGAACCATCTCTCTTGTCCGTTAGAGTCTGTGTCAGCTTATACTTAGATGGTTTCCACCATTTTGGTGCAAGACCATTCTCTTCGGTTCTCTCTTCTTGTCTGTCAAGTTCCAGCAAGTAGACCGCCTGAACAAAACATGCTATCACCATCCTTTTGTAGTTTGGATCTCTCCTACAGAAAATTTAAAACCAACTGACTTAATGCATCAGGATTTTAAATTTTAAAGCATAAACAGCAGAGCCAGAATAGGTTTGAAGGATGCACACCAGGACAAGATCCAAAGAACAAGCCTATAAATGCAATGATCATCTGCAAATTTTATCTTGATATACATCAAATTCTTTTACTTTATCAGTAACAGCTAAATTGTTTGGAGGTAGTCAATTTTATGTTGGCCCATGATTGGCATTTGGCTTATAATCTGTATAGCTCAGTAAAAAGAAGACTAAGATTGTTTATAAAGCATTTGCTGATCAGAAGTATATTAACTGTTGGAAGGTAAAACAATGAATTACACAGAAAAAGAGACAACGTTAGGGCAATTACTTTCATGCTCTTTCATGATCTTTACACAATAAATTGTTTGATGGTTTTTCATAAATTCTTTATGTGAGAATAGGAACTTCATATATTAATTTCGGATCCCATTTGAACTATTAACATCTCCTATCTTCCTTGTGGTTAATTTTCTAAGATTATAGAACATCAAACATGGGACAAAACTAGTCTGATTATATTCTTTTCTAGCTGAGATGCATAAAGCTGATCCAGTATCTTGTTTTGATGGTAGGATGTCATAAAGGTGTTGGACTACAGAAAACACACTTTATTTTACAGAAAAAAAGATGAATTTGTAGAAATTATTAGGTCAAACAAAAAATCTTTTGTTGGCTTTTGGCCGTCCAAGGGTGATGTCACCATATGCTGGGGCTCAGTGCATGCATATTGAGTGAAATATAAGAGGCACAAAGCAGCCATAGCAGAATTGGGATGCTCACTCTGGAAATCTTCTTGATTCAGGTCAGCTGGTGTAGGAAATTTCCGTATGTGAAACTAGGAAAAAACATACTTTACAAGAGTAGGAGATTTGTGTCTCATTTGGATTTTGGATCATTGAGGTTTCATCTCTTGCTTTCTGTAAGGCTAAATAGACCCATCTGTACTACATTGTTAGACCAATTAGACTTGACTGTAGAATAATCCTTCTACGATATGGATGTCTTAGCCCAATTCATTTAGAGAGAAGGAGGAAGATCGGGACAAAGGTCATGCTTTAAGTTGAAAAAGAACAGAAAAAAAAGGAAATCATTGACAACATGAGATTGGTTAAAACAATACATATGAGTATTATTTCCATGAAGTTTTTTCTTTTTAAATGCTTTCTTATTTTGGAGAAACTCAATCTTAGGAAAGAAAACAGTAGGATGCTTAGTTGAACCCAATCATCCCTTTTTTTAACATCACCAATTTGTAGATTCTAGTAAGGAAAAAAAATGAAAGAAATTGGAAGGGAGTAAGAAAATGGAAACCTATCTTGCTTCCTCCTCGTCCTCATCAACTCGATCTCATCCTGTAGGTGCTAAAGTTTGTGGTGAAACATCTAATTTAGCCAGTAAATTGTTCGATCGTCTCTCGTTTAATTTGATGTTCCACCGTGAGAATTAAAGAAACAAACATAGAACTGAAAGAAATTGGAGGGTAAAAAGCTGGCAAGAAACTGCAACCAAGAACGACTCTAAACCCAACCCACGAATACATCTCAAGAACCAAAAGAAATCACCAAGAATGCATCTCAGGAACCCCAAAAAGAAATCACCAGAGAGAGAGAGAGAGAAAGAGAGTGAGTGAGAGAAAGAGAGATGGGTACCAGCTGGAGCGAATGAGGTCCCTCCAGTTAGGGGAGGAGAGATTGCGGGGGCCAGACACATGGAAATCGTAGGGGTGGGCAGCCAACTCCGCCGCCTCGCTCTTCGTCCCCTCCCCTCCTCCTCCTCCATTAACTGCTGCCTCAGGGGAGCCTTTCGCCATTGCAGCAATCTCTCCTCCTCCTCCTCCTCTACGGATTCTGAATGCCACGAATTGATAGAGAAGATAAGAAAAAGCAGAGCAGAAGCAGAGAATAAAGCAAGGAGGGAGAGAGAGGAACGGCCGACGAAGACAGACGTGGTTTTCCTTGTGGCCCGGTGGCGGCCATGTTCATGTATACACATGTATTTATTGTTAATAGCAGTAAAGGCTGCTTCGGGGAGCGCGTCATTATGAGCCCTGTCGCTCGCAACGGTCATATTTGGATTCCGTTGCCGCTAGTGGTATTTGACCGGAACGCGCTCAGGTGGCGCTTTCGGATCCTTTGCGGGCATCACTCGCAACGTCAGTTTACAAGTCTCATCTTTACCGTCCCTCTCATTCGATCATTTAATCCCCCCCCTCCCTCTCTCTCTCTCTCACGTAGGAATGAGCGAAAAAAAATCCACAAATAAGAGTCGAACGTAATACTTATTTTTCTACTTTAAATCCACCAAACGAGCCTCCTAATTAAACATATTTCAAAAAAAAAAATATTTGCATTAATGTGCTTCAGTTGGCTCCCATGGATTAACATATATGTATAAATATACACTTAATTTTTTAAGAAATAACATGACTACAAGATGTTGGCTCTCTCGTGATGGCAACAGTATGGCAATGTGAGCTGAGTTCTTCCGACTACAGTAACTCTTTGGTTTTCCATTTTCTGAGGAAATAAAAAAAATTCATGTCTTCTGCTCTGTATGAGAGCAAATACTGTTTAGTTCATAGTTATATTGTGAATATATAGGATATGAACTAACAAAGGATTATTCATAGAGTAAAAATATGATAATTAAAATAACAAAGGATACCAAAACTCTTGTATAATTATCGAATATTTTTAAAATTAAAAAATATAAAATAGTTATAAGACTAATAATACTTTATGGATCTAAGTATTGGACAACTAAGAGAAAACATATACAAAAAATTTATGTTGGTAAGATGAAAATATTGTGAGGGATGTATAGAGTTATTAGAAAATATAGAAAAAATATTTTTATTCATGAATAATTACGTATCGCTTCGATATATTAGCATGCGTTAAGAAGACCTCTAGATGTGATAGTTAGAAGAGATGAAATAATTAACGTTAGTAGTAGAGAAGAGCTAAAAGAAATATAAAAATTAAAGTATTACGAATTTAATTAAATATATAATTTTAAAAAATTTATATAGCTAATGATAAATAATTAAAACTTATGATTTTATTGTTATTGTTGTATATAATAAAGATTTTTAGTAGTAAGTTGAAAATTATAATTAACCTAAAATTTTATATTTTATTATTTAATAAAAGATTATAAACTTTCATATTTTTATAAGTATTAATATATAAAAAATATAAAAAAATAAAGACTTATCAGCTAATCAAAATGGCTGGTACAAACATGTAAATAATCTAAAAGAATAGAAGGCGGAGGACACATAGAACCCCATTTTTTATCCGCTACTTTCCGCCTCTCTCTCTCTCTCCCCCGCCCCCCCTCTCTCTCTCTCTCTCCCCGCTCCGAGGTTTGATCTCCGACGTAGAAATCTGAGGCGGCATATCGTAGCAGTTTGAGGTAGCTGGGGGTGATTGGTGACAAGAAGGAGAGGAATCGATCGTGTTTGTCGTTGGATTTTTGAAGTCGCTCTACAAATTGATGGATTCCGATCTCTGGATCTCTCGCCTCGCCGCCGCAAAGAGGCATTACTCGACCCGGCACCGGCAGAATATCCAACCAGGTCGTTCTCCGATCGAGTCCTTCGTTCGCGCCACTCCTTTTCCTTTTATGTTTTGTTGTGTCTAGTGGGGATCGTGGGAAATTGTTCGTTTTGATTTGCGATCGTTCTTGTTTCATGGGAATCATTATTTGTATTCTTTCCGTTTGCTGAATTCAAGATTGGAACTTTCTAGACCGGCCGAGCATCGATGAGTTCGAGATGGAGGAGGAGGAGGAGGTCCGCCCGGATTTCCCATGTCCCTACTGCTATGAGGATCACGACATCACGTCTCTCTGCTTTCACCTCGAGGAAGAGCATGGTTTCGAGTCCAAAGCAGCTGTGAGCATCCATAACTCCGAGTCTTGATTGCTAAAGAAAGTTTCTTCTTTTCGTTTTCCCTTGAATGCTATGCGTATTTGATGACCATGCTGCGACTAGCCTAAATCACTAGCAGTTTATGAGACAACTTTGGATCAGAAACGAAGAACTAGAACTTATTCATCACGTTAAATGAATTCCTGGGTCTCAATGTATACATTTCATGAACTTGAAAAGCTTCCTTGATTCTTAGATTGGATTTGTAGTCGGCACCTGAAATGTGTTCTCATTAGGTTATATTCTAACCTTTTGAAAGAATGGATATCATTCAGTATGATTCTGGTAACAAATGGGCCCGATTGAAAGTACCCCGATGCCACATCATGTGTCTATTCACGCATGGTTATTGGAGGAGAATGTGAATAATGCGTGTTCTATAAAAGCCAAAAGTAGTGAGAAAAAAATAATGTAGTTTTAAAAATCTGTCGATAAATATCTTTGAAAAATTTAATACTATGAATATATTACCGTTGGCAATATGATAATAGCAAGAAAAAAATGTTGCTATGTTAAGAGGACATAATATGGCACCATCAGATCAAATTATTTTTATTCTAAGCTTAATACTGGAAGTTTCTGTTGCCTTTGTTTCTACCTTTTAAGTTGAGCAATTTGTTCTCCAAAAAACTAGAGACCTGCTGTTCCTGATAATTGCCATTGTCAAGTTTTGATAACTATTGTCGACCAAAGTGAATGATCAAAGCACTACAATTCTAGTTAATCTTACTTGAGTACTAAGGCAGTGGAACCCACCGACTCATTCATCGCTGTTTCAGATTGTTCAACATAGCAGCATGCTTTTTCTTGATTCAGATATTTAGATCTGTTTCCTCTTTACAGGTTTGCCCTATCTGCTCTACTAAGGTTACAAAAGACATGCTGAATCATATAACCCTCCAACATAGGCACATACTCAAGATATCCTTTTCATTAGGTTGAAATTGTATTATCATGTGATCACAAAGATCTTATCATTTATTTCCTTTAACAAAGAGTTACCTGCAGCGACGTCAAAGATTTCATAGATTTGCCATGCCTAGCAGTCAGACACTCTCTCTTCTGAGGAGGGACCTTCGAGAGGCTCATCTGCAGGTGCTTTTGGGAAGTGCTGGTTACAGATCTAACAACAATGAAGAATCAAACATCACAGCTGATTCCTTTCTTTCATCACTTCTTCTGAATTTTCCAACATCTGACACAGACGAAACTTTGAAACGTATCGCTGATGAGAGCTTATATAGAAAAAAAGAATCACATGTTCCTGCTTGGAAATCAAGGTAATGGTTACATTTATCTTTCCTGTTTCATGAATGTAATTTGGTATGTTTATTTGAAGGATTGATTATTCTTGACAAGATTTCTGGTCTGTTAGCAATATATTTTCTAGCACAAATTAAAGGAGGAAATTTAGGTTATAAATGAAGATATTTAGAACTTCTGACATTAGCAAGACAGTTACAAAATTCAGAGTTGGAGCTAGCTTTGTACTTCCTCTACGACTTAGAAGTTTGGGAAGGGATATATGATAGATATTGTGATAAATGGTACTTGAATTTAAAGTAGTTGTCCCATCTATGCTACCTGATAGAAAGGTCATACTGTATCTACAATGAGAAACTCCTTTCTTAACTAGTAAGCAAGTAAGAAATGGATATATGTCAAATCAATTGCCTAGCATTTCCCCTCATCTTATTTTATGCACTTGGTAGATCTGTTGTTAATAATTCATTGTTGAATGGCAGCAGAGCAAATGCAAAAATTGTACAAGTCTTACAGTAAGCTGACAAATATTTATGTGCCTTAACAGTATAGAAGGTCCAACTAAGAGATCCGATTGCCTGTGTCCACGGAATAGAACTTAGACAGATAAAAGCATATAGAATTTGCACGACTTAATGGATAAGGTCATGTGGAGTGATTAATTGTTAAGATCATTTTATCAAACTGCACAAAAGCATGCTAGCTAGAACAACCTTTATGATAATTCTTGATGCCTCTTATGTGCATCAAATGACAAAACCAGGACATGCTGGTTAATTCACATAGGGAAATCATCCTGCAGAAATTTGTTCCATCGTTTAGAAAGAACTAAAAATTATAAATAACAGATGTTCTTGCTATGGTTTCTTTTTTTATAGGTCCCAAAAGCAAGTCTTTCCCATTTCTTTGGAAAGTGCATTTATGGTGATGAGTTTAAATGCTGTGCACATAGACATGACCTTGTATGATGCATTAGGAGTAACCTAGACCAAAGAGTCGTACTCAGCACATGAGGTTTTCGCCAATGCAAGGACTATCGTACACAACCTTCTAAATATAGAGAGACCAGTTACATGGCTTGAACCCTCATTTCCTAGGCCGCAATCGAGCAATCTTACCATTATACCAAACTCACCCATAAGACTAACCTAAAGTTAGAATTTATTATTTGGTCCCGAAGGCCTCATGGCTCGTTCTTTGTCATAATATAACCACATATATAACCACCAAATCTCATCATTTTTTTACCTCTGGTATCCATCATATTATGGTCTTTTTGGTTCTTCTTACCGATGTGACATATTGTGAACTGTTGGATTTATGAATTGTGTATGTTGGCATCCTCTTTTTTTTATTCTGTGGTGCCAACAGAAACCATCCACTTACTAGCTTATATATTGGATGCATATACAAATGCAGCCATCAGCTGAGATAGCTAACAGCCAAATTCATTTCATCTTCAAAATGCCATTTACGAAAATAATTAGCATGAAGAATGAGGACATCGGTTATGATTTTGTTTATGCTTTACTTGTAATTTGCATAAGTTCTGGCCTGTCAGATTATTATGTGAATAAACCCAAAGAAGTGCACTAGTTTTGGAAAGCTAACATTAAAGATCTTGCAATTCTCGGTAGTTGCTGGTGGTAGCTGCAAAAGATCATTGGGTTTTGATAATATGAGAAATAGACAAGGGCTTTTTAGAAAATTAGCAAAGATTATTAACTATGATCTAATTTCTTTCCATTACAGTTTGAACTCCTCATTGACACAAGAGCAAAGGGAACAACGGCGAAAACAGGCGACAATCAGAGCAACTTTTATGCAAGATCTGCTCCTCTCCACCCTTTTTGGTGACCAGATAAGCTGATAGATGGAATATCAGAAATTCTAATTGGTTAGAGCATAATTACTCTCTACAATCATGTTTAGATTTCTTGTGTCAAACAGTGGCTGTCTTCAATGGCTGAAGGTGCCAGACTGTGGAAAACTTGGTACAAGCCTGATAAGCGTTAGCTTGAGGCATTCTCGGTATAAGTTTCTTCCCTACATCTCAGAATAGAGATCAAATTGGACAAATGTAAACTCCCTTAATGTCCTTGGTACAAGATTGCTTGTTTATTCTGTGACAATACAATCTTAAAAGTTTTGACGGTAGCTCTGTTTTCTTGCAGAAACGAAACACCGTATGCACTAGGATTAGTGCTAGTGTGGACATATCTGTGTGTATGTATGTATGTAATATATTTTGATTATAAATCATAATAAATATTTAAATATATAATATTATTTAAAATTTAATTAATAGTCGAATGTTAATTAGCTTAACCATAATAACAAAAATATAAAATTTTGCAAGGATAAATATTAAAATTTATATATGTGTGTTCTACAAGCGAGAACATCTCAACTATTTGAGACTGTTTATCCAAAGACGGGAAGTTTTGCCATGCCTGACAAATGATGAAAGTGAAGTCCCGTCTTCGAGCGAAACCCACGAAACAAAATGGGGCAGTAGGGGTCATCTGTTGCTCTAGTCAGAGAGTGCTCATGATAGAGAACAAGCCTTGTAAGCTTGGGGTTAACAATGAAAGACCTCAGTTTTCTTCTTGGATTCTACTCTTTATAGGGAGAGTGGTGGTAGAGGAGATGATGTAAAGGAATCATGGCATGTGGTCAAAGTGGATGCCGGTAAGTTTTCTCTGACCGTAACATCTATATATCTCTAGACCATATAATTTTACCGTTGGAAAGGTAAATTACAAAGCACCAAACTTAGATTTAGTTCATCAAATTGGCCTCACTTTGATGGAAGCCACCACCACGTAGCGTGGAGCAAACATCAGGTCATCCATTCTTTACTGACCTTTTCACAATAAATTCTCAAGGCACAATAGTTTCCAAACCAGCCAGATAGAAGGGAGGAAAAATGATCTCCAACTCCAAAATGTGCTACGTGTAGCCCATAAAGATTGATTTTTCATTTCATCCATCCACCGAACGCCATCAAGAGCTTCCGAAGCTGATCTTGCCAACTTGGATGCGCGACATTTGTTGGCAACGGTGGTTCATCCTGCTTCAACAGCTAGTAATGTGTAAAGAACAACTCGATTGCTTCAGTAACATCCAGAGAATTATAGTATCCATAACTCACTAACATCATCAGACTTGCGTTCATAAATATAAACTGCATTACATGTACCGGCATCAAACACTACATTTCAACACTAGTATCTAATCAGACTGATGGATATCAATTGATACCCACTGATCTGACTGGTATTCATCACCTGGTCATCCATCATCCATGGTGTGACACCAGACGATGAGCAAGTCGAATTAGTAACCACTACCTCAATCAATGCTGCAGCTGTTTTAAGGCCTAGTATAAACAAGAGATTAGACAAGCCAAAGAAACTCAAATAGAGATTAATTACAAAGCATAAAGTCTGATATAAACAAGAGATTAAATAAGCCAAAGAAACTCAAATAGAGATTAATTACAATGCATAAGCATCCTAGAAGAGAAGTCTCTAACACCCAACAGTAAGCATTCTGTTACGCTGCCCATCATCAAACTTGGCTGCACAAACACTGAACTGAAAACATCTTGCTTATCGACTTGTTGCAACATACAGGAGTGGGACTTGATCGGTGCATGGGAAGCCCCATCATCAGAAATTTGCCTGCCACTTGCTAGAATGAGTGTACTTTAACAGAACTTGGTGGATCCTAATCTCGAGGTCCTCAGGGAAAGACGTGTGTTCATAGATACAAACCGAGATAACTGAAAGAAAAGAAAGAAAAGCTCCAGGGAACGTTATGAATAAAAAATATCAACACCCACATCGTAGCTTCATTAGTCTAATAATTCTCAATTTTTCCAGATCTTTGCCAGGGAAAGCCTATTAGAACAGAGATGTCAAGTTCCAAATGAGAGACACACCATCCAATCTAAGGGAATACCAGCTCGATAAGATACAAAAGCAAAAAATAACAAAGACCGCAGGTGTTTCCACCTGCAAGAAACAGAGAGACCGCTAGCCGTTCAGGAGTATCTCCGGTAACCAAGCATGATCATGATATATACCTGCATGAAACCTTTTCCATATCAATAATTCATGATATCAAGAATGCAAAATCATACAGAAGTTTTCTGAAATCTCAATTATACTTTTAGAACATAATGTTTGCATTTCTCATTTTTGTTTTATTTCTCTATTATTTCACCATTTTTAATTTTTTTATAATTGTTTTGGTTCTTTTGAGTTATTTTCCTGACAAATCATAATCACATCAATTTGATTTGATTAATCCTGTCAATCCCAACTATACTGTTTCTATCTAGTGCAGATCCAATTATTACCGACTCCACTAATGACTTGATGAAGCTACACGTGATTAGCTAGTATCACTTACCAACAGGTAGAGTCAAACATCACGATCACTAGCATCCCAAGTATGTCACAAAGCGACTTCTCAGATGTATACTCTGTAATCCAATCTGGTAAGGATCTGTTCCTGATGTATAATTTACTTATCACAGAGCTCCATTTCTTACCCATGTTCTCCCTTTGGTGTTTTCCTGATTTTTTTTTTCTCTTTTTAATTGGTGACAGTTGCTTGTGCCAGAATAATAGTATACCAGTCTGAACTAACGGAACATACCCATCTGCCAACAACAAAAATGTGGTATAGATGGGCATTTGAGTTCTTGATTGATGCTTGCTTTAAAAGGTTGACAATATACAAACTCAATAAAATTTTGTCAAGATATCTATTGATGGAAAAGTACTGGTTTTGAGTTGTGAGCCATCTGATACCCCTATATGGGTAGGAAAAGGTAATGTGACGGAAGTTATTTAACAGAGTAAGGTTTTGACATGCTTGCATAGACAAATTTCATAAAAAAGGGTTTATGATCAATTTGTGCAGGATAAGGGTGGATGCCAATCTATAAAATACAACAGAATATAGGATAAAACCAAAAAAAAACATATCGAAATAACTGATTTGGTAAAAAAACAGAAATGGTTCTGAGGCAATCCATCTTTTGGGAAAGATACGAATGAGATAATTTACAATGCCTTTTTTATTAGATTGAAACCTTATTTAAAATCAATCAGAATCTGTGTCTTGATTCTTAGATACCACAACAGTGTGGCAAGAAATAATTTCAGTAACAACCCAAAAGATCAAGAGAATTTATTTTTCAACAAACTACTGGCAATATAAGAACCTGCAACCAAGGTACCAAGGCTACTATATTCTGTAGTGGCACCAACTCTTTCTATGGTCTGAAGAGGATTAAGCAACTGAATTCATCATGCCAAGGTTCAAAACTTGACTTGGAATCAAGTAAAGCAACCTTCGAAACCCGATTCAACCAAGTCAACTAGGTGCTCCAGATAAGTGGAAGCCCTCTTTTTTTATTTTTTGTAATAATAAAAAAGAATAAAAAAGAAGGTGCAAGTAATGGAAAAAAGTAACCTTGCACTTAAATGGTTGCCAGTTCATTAAATTTTTCACAATGAGAAAATATGAAAATCGAACAATCAATATTTGTAGTTACCAGTAAGAAAATCCTCATCATACAGTAGATTTAATTATCATATCAGAGGTGTGATACTAGTACAGTAAAAATTAACAAAGTGTCAAGGAGAACTGCATAGTCATGGTCTAAAGAAAGACAACATGAATACCAGCTGATTCAATTAGATGAACTAGCAATGACTTCTGAACCTAGCAATAGCTTTAAAAAGAAAAAAACTAAAGCTTCTAGCTTTAACAATAAGTCAAGACTCAGTTTCAGTGGTCTCAGTAGTCATGGACAACTCTGCAAGTAGATTCAGAAGGTTTTCTACCTTGTTCTATATAGAATAGGTAATTTTCTAAGCTTTCATGTCAGAGAAAAAGAGAACAACAACAAAAACCAATTTGCAAATGGTATTATTCTGAACAGAGATCCAAAATAACCTTGTACCTGACCAACTTACAAATGTTTTTTGCATTTAGGCATATGCATAATAAAAAGATTACATGGAACAGCAAAAAAACACATACAACGCAAATATGAAGTACCTCAAATTGTGTCCTGTTTTTTCCCAGTAAGAATTCGTGATATCTGGAGACCTCGACTGAATGCTTCATTAAAGAGAATCCTCGTCTGCATTTCCTGGAAACCAGGCATCCAGGACAAAAATGCCACCGGTGCCATCACAATCACCCCAAACAAGATGTCATAGAACCGAGCCATGGAAACCACAGTTTCCCATAGAGCAGTGGATTCAATAAATGGTTTGATCACTTGAGCAATTAATATTAGACCCCAACCGGTTGGAATAAATGCCAACAGGCTTGTAAAGATATCAATAAACTCAAAGGATGTGAACTCGAACAACAAAACGATCACAAGTATCACAAAGACTATTACGAAGGATTGGATGGCACGATATGTAATATGTTCCTTTGCAGCATATCTGTCTCGGGCATAATCCACAACAACAAAAATCCCAACAGCTGCAACAATACCAATCCATGAAAGCAGATACACAGAAACACTGTGGCTCTCACTGGCAATATTTAGCTGGTATACGATACCGTATTGGAAAAAGAAATATCGGAGATCTAATACTACCTCCAGTAGCTTCCCCCAAAGACCAGTTGTCCGAAGGTGGTCATTTTCTTCATTCCACCATTTCTCCCAAGACTGATCAGATGTTGCAGAAATGCGACTAGGATGCCAAATCCAGTTCATGAAATCATCAAAGTCATAAACAGTTTTCAACCAATCAAAACCAGATGGGTTGAATGCAAATGGAGCCATGATCCATGATACCACCAGAAACCAGCTCGAGATTGTCAGCACTATGTATACAAAAGTGTTCTTTGCAATAGCACTATAAGAAGCATAAACAGTCAATATTAATCCAAGTTCTATTGCTTTGATAAAGTGGCTACGCGCATAGAGTCTATAATTCTCAGCGAATTTCTTGTGCTCGACAACAAAACCACGTCCTGTAGCACGATACTTTGCACCACCATGAAGGATTGTACGCCCATAATAATGGGTCTTAGTTCCCATAGAGAAGGTATAGAACATGGATGCAAGCTGGAGCTGCATTGTGAAGAAGTCCCATATTGCAGGAAGAAAGCCATGCTCTAGGGAGTTTTCTATAATCATTGGCAAGGCTGTGAAAAGGCCTAGCTGGATAATGAACTGCTGGTTAAGAACAGTAACCAGAGCTGCATTATTCGTAGAGTCAGCATTGTTACTGATAGAATTCTCAAGACCACTAAGAGCCAGATAAAGTCGTCCCCAAACAAATGCATAAACAGTCAGTACCACCATCATGGTGTTAAAGTAGAACCCCACAGTTGTGTAGAAGAAAGAGAGCATTCGAAAGAAGTCCAACCTATGACCCAACCTATAAACATCTCTGCTTAAGGTCTGTTCACCATTGCCACTAGCAACCTTGGCTTCAAACATAGATATCTGATTCAAGCCTACATCCCGTCCTTTACCCACTTGGATGTATTCGTGGTGGGTAACATTACCACCACGAAGTGTACAATTAAAGCCTGCAAATATGTCCTCGCTAATGTTAATGACCCTGGAAGCTTTGCTAATGCCACCTCGACTCAGAAACCAAAGGCGATCAAAGACATCAGGATGGCCATAATGCATACGAACCTTTAAAGGGTTTGCCAAAACCCGCTGTCCAAGTGTGACAAAGCTTGTCTCCTGAGCAGACATGAACCAAGCAAGGGAAGAGACAGAACCAGTAAAAACATGTTCTCGGACTCCCAAGATTGTCGGTTTCCGAGAACCATACTTGTAGGAATACTCCTCCAACAGATTGCGCATTTTGAGGGCCTCTTCAAAGTAGTTGTCTTGATTCATGTCAATCGTCTGAACTGCATCACCCCTCGTAAATATGGAGGCATGGTTCTGATTCTCTGGCTTGCCTTCTCCAAGCTTCAGTGGCCCAGGCAACCTGACCCGGTATATCTCCACCTCTTTCTGCAATTGCTGATCATACTTAACAAGAACTGAATAATAGACCACTTCATCTCTGCCTGACTTCACTTCATCAACATAGGCCACACGAAGGGCCTCATTGTTCTTCATTAGATACAAAATATCATTGGCACGTGGATCATTCTTTGCTTTCTGGTTCCCATAAATCTGGCAGGCAACAACATAAGTATACTTCATTAGGGCAGTTCCATGCTCATGGCCTTTAAACAGCAAGCTGACGCCACTGCTAGCTCTGCTCAGGCTTCGTGATGGCGACTTGCCACCATCCTCTGAATCATCTAATTCAGTTTTCTGCCTCTTTGATGAACCAACTGATTGTAGCTCCCTCGACCCCTCCCTTATGTCAATCTCAGAAGCAGAATCAAGAAAGGTAAGCATCTTGAGAGCCCTGTAGTAGTACATCATCCCTCGCACAGTGCGTGATAACGTCTGACCCCTATATGAGGCCCAAAGCCGAAGATCCCTCGACCTTTTACCCCATAGCTCCTCTTCATCAGTCATTCCTTCGCTCCGCATACGTTCCAAAAAGTTTGACCAATCATCTTCGTAAATCTTCTGCAAATAGAATATGATAGAGATGCCATCTTCATTCTCTGACTGAAGCTGCTCCTTGCTGTACAAAACTTCCTCGTTGTAATATGGAGTCAGAACACTGAAGGCCCTCATCTTCTCAACCTGTGGAGCTCGTGGCATGTTCATGAACAATGAGTTGCTGAAGAAAGCAATACGCCTTCGGGCCTCCAGATTCTTTGGAACATTATTCATGGAATCCTTGGATGTAAGAATTGTATGCAGCCGCCTTACCTGCTTGTAGAAGTTCTCATTTTCTGCACTGGGCAATTCAACAGCATTCTCAAAGAGCAGACCGCTTGACCCGGTTGGTGCCAACCCTGCATCTTTAAGTTGCTCTATGCTCTTCTTGTTCTTAGGAAAGTCACGGGTAGCTATGTCATAGAGGGTCTGCAATGTGTTGACCACTTTGTTCTTATTCCTATTTGGCTTGACTAATGTACCCAGTAGGACAACCAGTTTGTCATAGATACTCTGCAAAACACCCATATTATATTCCACCGAGAACTTCTCAACCCGAATGCAACTATCAAACTCCTCGAACATTCCAGCAACAATGGAGTGCTCCTCAGTTCCCTCCTTGATGATCTCCAGCAGAAAGTACTTGACACTGTCATAGGCCTCTATGACTGCACAGCGGCGATACTCATTCTTGCAAATCTTTCTCCAGTGTTTTCTGTCATCAGCCTTCAGTTCCTTTGCCTGGCCGAGTGCAAGTAACAGCTCATTGCAGAGTAACAAGCACGGCCACCTGATCACCCGGATATTCCATGTATAGGGTGGAAGCTCAAGAAGCTCCACTTCACGGTCGCTCAAAATATCCTCCTCTCTGAATGTCTGAATAATCTCATTCCATATCAATGCAAACCTGCTGGGACCCAGTTGATTCGATTCGATCTTCTTGTATGGGCGCCCCAAGCCATACCTCAGCTTCAGCCGGTTGACAGCATCCCTGAACTTACTCCTCAGTGTACCATGGTCCTGGAATAGCTGCTCCTCTGGCAGCAGATTGAACTGCATTGCACTAGCAAAGAACTGAAACCTCAGCCTCAGCTGTTGCACATCACGAATCTCCCCAAGATGCGCAAACAGGCCAACCAGGGCCCCGACCAATGAAGAGAAGATTGAGTACCAGATCTGGATGTCCATTAGATAGATCAGGATGACAGGTAGCCACAAGATGAACACCGCAAACCGGTTTGTACGAGAGAAGAACTCATGCCACTCATATTGGACGTTTTGAAGGCGGAGTATGGCTTTGGTCGGGGTGACCATAGGCTTGATCTGCAGGAAGTAACTGAAGGAGAATTTCACAGCAAGGAGCACGACCCAGAACAGAGAGTACTTGACATTGTCGAATAGACCTTCCCTCAGTCCTCTACCAACAAAGGTACGGCTCTGGAACCACCAAGTGAGGATGTAGAAAATCCTCCAATTGGTCTTCTCGAGGAAGTTGCGGAGCCAAGGGATGATGAAGAGCACGATGGCGAGCAGCTCCGGGAGGACAAACACAGCAGCGGCTTCCAAAAAGTTCACCAGCCGCTGGTTTGCAGCCGTCGACCACTGCCGGTCGCGGTTGCGCTGGTCCCAGATCCGGGAATAGAGGACGGCGAATGCAACAGTCCACGCCGCAGCGGCGAGGCTCTTGAGCACCATCCGCACACCGAGCAACTTGGCGTCACGCGACACGAGGCCGTACTGGGTGCCGGCATCGAGGAGGGACTGGAGGAGGCGGAGGCCGGCCCAGGTGATGAAGATGGTCAGGACGCGTACCTGGGCGTCGCGAGTCCGGAGATTCTGCCACGGGTACGTGTCTCCATGCCACGCCACGAGGATGGCCGCCTGAAGGAAGAGGATGAGCACGACCCAGAGGCGATCGAAGCTGCGGTAGAGGTTCCAGAAGGAGCGCTGCTCCACGAAGCCCGTCTTTCCCACGCGGTTCTTCGTGGGCGGCGTCGCGAAGAAGTTCTTGGAGCGGTCGAGCGGCCAGCGGAGGCGGTCGAAGCAATGGTTGCTCCAGAAGTACTCGTTGATGTCGTCGTAGTTGCGCCAGGCGGAGTGGGGGGCGGTGCCGTTGTGGCTGGCGTCGACCTCCCGCTTGATGGTTTCGTAGATGGGGGTGACGACGCGGGCGAGGAAGGCGTTCTCACCGGAGATGGCGGGGAGAGCGGGCTGCCCGGTGGCGTCGTCGATGTAGTCCTCGAGGATGCGGTTGAGGTCCATGGCCATGTGGTGAAAGATGTAGGAGAGGCACTCGGGGACAAAGCGGAGGTTGGCGGCCTCGCCCCAAATGAGGAGATAGAGGGCGGCGTAGAGGAGCTCGCGGCGGGGGTCGGTGGCGACGCGGCGGAGGCCGGAGTCCGAGATCCAGACATTGGATTTCCGGCCGAGGTAGGCGCACCAAGAGGTGTAGCTGTGGAGGAGCTTCTTGCGAACGCGGCGCACGACGGAATGGTCGAGGACGTCGATGTTGTCCGGCGGCGGCTGGAGGCGCATCTGGGCGTTGGCGAGGAGGAGGACGAGATGCTCCCGCTGGTTGCGGACGTTGTCGCGCTGGAAGCCGAAGAAGGCGCCGAGCCAGTCGAGGAGGTCGAGGCCGTCGTGCCACCGGGAGAAGGGCGGCTTACGGAGCTCCCCGACGGTGCGTAGGGCCGCCATGGCAGCGCGCACCTCGGGGAAGAGGAGCGACGGGTGATCCGCGAGGAGATTGTGGATGGGGATGATGTTGTAGACCTCATCATCCCCCTCTCCGGCGACAGGCGGCGCGGCCGCGGTGCGGGGCGGCGCCGCGGGACCGGCGCCGGGGCCATGGGTGGCGCCCGGGCCGGGCCGGGTGGGGCGTTGGCGGAGGCTCATAAGCGCATCAGATCTAGGAGTTACGCCCTTTTCCTTCTCCCTCTCCCTCGCTCCTGTCTTCTCAAAAATCTTTTGATCTGCACGAAGACGGATGAGATCGAGCGGCCTGCAGGTCTCAGTATCTCAAATTTTCTTTTCTTTATCATAATTTTCTTTACCATTATTACATCAAAAAAACGGTTTTTCATACACCATAGAAACTAAACTACTAATTAGAAATTATCTATTAAAATACCATTAATACTTTAGGATAAACAATGTGAATTCAGTGCTAACAAACAATTGAATCGACTAACGAAAATTAACTGCGTTTTGACAAAACCACATGTACAAGCAAAATTTATAGTTAAAGAAGCAAAATCATATATGCAAATGGGTAAACATTAGAATGGAGTTAGTTAACTAAACTTTCAACGGAATAGTTTTCTTGGAATCTTTTAAAGCATTAAAAGCGGCTTCACATGATTCGTAGCAATCCGTAAGTCAAATATCGACGCCAGCTTCGAGGCCCTGAAAGTCTTTTTTTTTTCTTTTATTTATTTTTTTCCCCGCTCGAAAGAAGTTCTTCATTCTGCAACACATTATTCGGAAACCAATCATGGCACCCATTCGGTCTACCCGTCAATCCGGGCCGTACTTCATGTGGACCCCGACAGCCATCGTGAGCGAGGCGGAAAATTCGGGCGCGGAAGCCCGGGACGCATAAGTATCGAGAATCGAGCCACCTCTAGTCCACCACTGAGCGACGTGTGAAGCCTACGCGAACGCGAGCGGTTCGGGATGCGAACCCGCGGCCACGGCACGGACGACTGGGACGTCGACTTCGGGAACGCCGTGCTGGTGCGGCAACGGTCCAAAAACGAGGCGGTGAGACAAGGCGAAACACACGGCTTCGAAACCTTACCCAGTAAGCAAGCGAACATCGACCAAAAACTATTGACCTTCCCCGACGTAGAAGAAGACAACACTACTGACCTTCCCCGAAGAAGAAGAATTAAGAGTTCGCTTTCCATTTTAGCCGGCTCTCACGGAGGTTTTGGCATCTCTCTCTCTCTCTCTCGTTTGTTTCCTCTTTTCTTCGTTAGTAAGGAAAATAAAAGGAAACCAAGTAAATCGTACCTGAAAGAGATTGGAGCAGCGAGGCAGGAGATTGGGTGTAGATCTCTTCCAAGACGAACTTCCGTGGAGAAGGAGAGGACGATGGGTAAACCGGAGATGCGGATGAGAAGGAGGAGAAGGAGAAGGGAGGGTTCTGTGCGCGACAAATGAATCTTCGCCGTGGCCGCTAGATTTGAAGCCCTACGTGGGGAGATGGAAGAATTGCCCCTTTGGGCTTCTTCTCTTACCCGGTGATGTTCCTACCCGCCCGGATACCTGCGTTACGTTTTGGCTGGGTCCCGATGAGTCCAATCGAGGAAACCGGCGCGACCGGTGACGCATAGACAAATGTTGGCCGTAGAGGACTTGCCAGTGGTTTATTGGATAACCCACCCACCACCAACCTGCCTTTTTTAGTTTCAGGTCCCACCGTCACGACCAAGTGCGAAGACAAGTAGTAAATGAGAAGGGTGGGCTGTCAGCGTGCCGAAAAGGATTTGATCATGGGACCCGCGGGACGGACCTGCATGTGTCCGCGTTGGACAGATGGGTGGATCCGGGGAAGTCGGCAAGCCGAGCGCCGCGCCGTAAGTTTCGATCCGGATCGGCTTAATCGATGATACCGAGGTAGGTCTGAACAAGATAGGTATTAAATTTGATATTCTCTGAATTGAAAATAATATTTTTTATAGTTCGCCTATACAGTTCAAAACTAAAAACTTGTCACTCAAGAATTTCACATCAAAATAATTAATATGATGGTGATATAGTTAACTCACATCTAAAATCAAGAAATAAAAGGCAACATCACAATAGTGACTACATAAAGAAAGATAATATATAATACTTTAGATAGCAGCGACAGCTACACAGCAAACTGAGTTCAAATGTAAATCTAATTACGGGCTACAATTAATATGGTACGCTAAAACCATACGGTGAACACATCATCAACATGAAGGAAGTTGAACGAAAGCATGCTGTACTAACTCTTAAGAAAAAGATGAAAAATGGAAATACACGCACACATCCAAGAAAAAAAGGGTAACTTTGAACGATAACCAATGCAAGCAGAATAGAATAATTTAGATGTAATAAATCACGTATGGAATAGGTTTAAACAGCTTGTATTCAGAAACGACAAATCACCAGTAGAGACATTGTGAGACAACATTTTTGTCCAGGAAGAAGATGTGAAATTGTTAGAAAGTGTACGATGATAATGAAAAAGCATTTTAATGACAAAAATATACCAATTCTGATATTTGACCACAAAATCCAGCCAAACTAAACATGCCAAATATGCCTGCATAATGAGGCACCCGAGTCAGCAACTTAATCACAGATCAGTGAGAACATGGTATCAGACGGATAAGAGATTTAGCTGATGGGAGATCTCATGATGCAGTTAAAGCTGAAGCTGATGAGACGGGTCAACTGCTTGTGGTAGTACAAGTTCATACAGAAAATAACCAGATATGCCTGAACAAAATGTGGATCACAAGGAATATATAACAGAAATACGGGTCTGTGCTTAGCATGTCAGTTCTGATACTAAAGGTACTCCAGAAGTCCGAAAGGAATCAAAATGCCTGTGCTACAACAAATGCAAAAAAGTATAGAGGAGACTTAAAACTTGATAGAGGAAGCTAAGAAACTACATGCTCCATCTTAGTGGTCAGGGCATTAACAGGAGTAAATCTACCATTGTCAAATAGAATCTAATATCATTTTAAGTCTCAGAATATGGGACTATCAAAACTTTAAAAAGGCTTTTTTAAGTGCTGATTGAAACAGAATATGACAAATACCAGACACATTTGATTATTTTTCTTCATACTCTTTGTATCTTTTCAAAGCAGAATATCATGAGAAAATCACATGTCACGAGCTATTTCTAAAGGAAATACTCATTCAGGGAGTTCATAATCAATATTCAATGTAAGTTCCATTCTCCAAATATTGTATGGCAATAGGAACTAATGAGGATAAAGCGACATCAAATAAATCGGATTGGAAGCAGGCAAATGCTTTCATAATATTGTGGGAAATTAATTAAAATAACCTACAAGAATCTTACAAATCTTTTGCCTACACATCAGCAGAGATTGTAGGCAGAAATTTCAAAAACATGGCTGGCTACTTATGAAGCATGACACTTTGATTTCATCCTTACTCAAGGTCAAAGTAATAAAATCTTTGATTTGACTCGATCAAATTTTCAGCTTCAGAATCCCTGGAATATATAACAATGGTTTTAAATTATCCAAGTAATCAATAATTTATCATTTTGATACCACAAGATGTTCATAAGTTTGCTATCCCAAAAGGTTTTCTATTATTCAGGATAAACTTTCATAGTCCCATGTATAGGGATTTAAAATCTCAGGATTTCTCAAAACAAAAAAAAAATGCTGAGTAAATATCCAAATCCCAAGTTTATGCAAAAAAAAAAAAAAATCAAATTTTGTGTTTGATTGGGAGATGTCAAACATGGGATGCATGATTGAGAATCTGTATATTCTAGAATTTGAAAATTCATTGGTGCAGTTGGAACTTGTGTCCCAGAATGTGGAGAGAATAATTAAGAGATTGGGATTTTGAAGATGAAATTTTGACAGTGCTTGGTTCAATTGTATGAAATTGTCATACTAAATAGGCTATGGAGCTTAAATGAGGGTTTTGGAAGGTGGATTTAAATAATGCTACTTTTAGTATAGAATATTTTGGATGGAAAATTCCTAGGTGGAATTTCAAGGGTGTTTGGCCCCATGAATTTATAATGAATCTCTATGAAATCCTAGTATTTAGCAGGGCTATCAGTATTTTTGTTTGTTGATGATATAGTTGAAACTGAGAAGAATTTAATTGAGATTAATTTTAAAATTGAGTTAAAGTGACAAATCATAGAAATTATGAGTTTTAAACTAAGTAGACCTGAAAACTATTGAAATACATTCAACTCTAGAAATATAGGTCTTTTTGGAGATATCCGATAAAATTGAAATGATACAGAAAACTCTAGAAATATAGCATTTAAATTCATAACCGACTGCTGTTCAATTATAAACTACTGAAGAAAAACAATGTCCTGGCAGCTGTAGTAAGATTGAAGTATTCCTCATATTACATGCCAACACTAGAAATGTAGCATCTAAATTCATAATCTACTGCTCTTTGAGATCCCCTTGTGAACTACAAAAGAAAAACAATATTTTCTTGGAGTTGTCACAAGATTGAAACCGAAAGCTGCTAGTGTTTCTTCCATGAAAGAACATTTGGTTCCACAAAAACATACAACATGCCTTGGTCTGATGCCAATGATTCCACTACATATTTAAAATTCAAAGCTTCTAGCAGAAAGTCTACTTAGATTTTAAATTCTTTTGACATTATAACAGTAGCAGGTTTTCTGTTAGTGATTTGACACATCAAAACAACACATATGCAAAGTTGAAGAGCTACCAAAAAAATCAGCATAAATGAATAACCAATGACAATATTCCAGGGGTCAAAACTGCATTCCCAACTCTAGCGATCATATCCACAGCCAGCAAAGACTTCAAATTGTGGTGGAGGAGGGAATTCAAACATGATATCTCTCGAATTAAATCAGAAATAAACAAATACCAGTTCACATGAGGAAATGAAGATGATTCTGTACCTCTCCTCACTGTTGCAGCGTATCTGCAACGAAAAGAAATCGAAATTTATCTTATATATATAGATTATAAACAGGATAAAAGGAGATGTGTGGCTCACCAGTGTCCGATCGCTTGACACGCTTGATCTTCGCAAGCTGCACCTGTGAATCCATGGAAATCTGCATCTGTTCCAGCACCTTAACAAACTCCATCTTCTGGCTTTCGAGTTGCATCATCTGCCTCTGCTTTGCCTCCTCTACCCTTCATTGATCTCAGCAAATCTCATGATCGCCCCAGCCCGTTCTCGGATCCCATTGCCCTCTCCTTCCCTCCCTCACTTCCACCCCCTTCCTGACCTCGAGGACGACCTTGACAGCGACCGCAACACCTCCTCCTCGTCCACTGCGGCCGCGAGCCTGAAGAACCGGCCGTCCCCCAGGAACGTAGTGGAGAAGGCCGGCCGCTTTTCCCTCGGGGGAACACTTGCGATGGAAAGAGAGCGTCAGCGCGAGCAGCGGCGAGACGGGGGCTTCTTCGCGGCCGAGGTCGCGCAACCGATGAGGCCGTCCGGGCGGGAGAAGGGGGGCCACTGGCTCTCGGCATCGCCGCCGGCAATGCGAACCTCTTCGACCCAGTACTTGTTCTTCAGGATGTCGATCCGGTTCTTGCACTGAACGTCGGTGCGGTTCCAGCGGCAACCAGCACCACGGCCGGAGTTGACGCCGCCGACGATCTTCAGCGCTTTCGCTGGAGGTTCCCGCGGTTCAGGTCGAGGTAGCGGTCAGCCCAAGCGCCGACAATCGCCGACGCTTCAACTCGCTCCAGCAGTCCGGCAGAGCCGGTTTCCGCGGTCTCGACGGCGCCGCCCCCGTCCCTTCCATCTCCCGATCCAATCTAAATTCCCTTCTCCTCTTTCTCCCTCAGCTTGTTCGCGTCTTGTTCGATAGCCACCATTAGGGTTAGGGTTCGAACGAGAGAAAACGGGATGGGGCAGGTGACATGGAGCGGCGACAGGCGCCGGCTGAAGGGGCGATGGGTGAGCGAGGAGCACGTGAGGTGGCGCCGGGCGTGCGAGTTCGCCGGTGTTGGCGAGGAGCCGATCGACACGGCACATCCCCGTCGCTGGTTTCGTGGTCGCAGAGCGTCCTACCAAGCCCAGAAGCGGAGAAATAACAAGTTCGGCGCCGCGTAGTACTGCTTGTAACGTGTCGTTCTTAGTGACGACGGTGCGAGTGGAAGGAATAATTGAGTTACAAAATTGCCCCTAAAAAATGAACGCAAACCGGAGAGAAGTGAGGGGTAAAGTGGGCAAGGTGTCGAAAGAAACGTACTTATTCCGACCCTCCGCGTCCTCGTCTGCCAGCCTGGTGCACCGAGGCAGAAACGGCGCAGCGCCAAGTCCGGGACCCGCACGCCGCCTCCAATGATGTTTAACCGTAGCACACTGCCATTCGTATCCTTGTTACTTTTAAGATGTAAGACAATCCGTTCCCGTTGCAATTATTTTTATATATCGGATTATTTCAAATCAGACCACGATCCAATCGGATTGGTTTTGATTAATTTTGATCAACGAATGGGCGAGATCGGAAATAGTTCTCGACGATATCAGCGGTGCTTAAATGGGACCCACCCCACATTCTAGTTTAGTTATGCGTTGGAGTAAAACTGATGATTCGACGTATTTGATGATCGGAAGTGATCGCACTATCGTGGCATCTCATTTAATATAATATTGAAAATGAAAAAGATGAATGTGATCATATGTATTGCAAAAGGACTGTTAACAGATAACTAACCTATGTGTCAGCTCTTTTTCCTTTTTGGAACATTTAATTCCCAGCTCACCTCTTCTTAGTTGATCTAATGCTGCATGAGATACATGGCATCAAACTGATTAGTCTTCTTTGATCACAAAAGAATTCATCTATTTGATACATGGCCAAGTTGACAGCAATACGTTTGTACTGGAACAGCGGATCAGCACTTCGTACTCCCAAGAATGTTTTATGGCCATCATTGTCACAAAACTAGACACTGTCACAGAGAGAGAGTGAGAGAGAGAGAGAGTGAGAGGGGTAAACAAAAGAAGAGATTTGTATATCTACCACCAAAGACCATTCTTTTGCATGAGAGAATTATACAAAAGAAAGAAAGAAAGGAAAAAAAAAAAAAAAAAAGGCACCCCACCTGATGAGAAAATAAAATAAAGCAAGAGAAATCCACTCCCTGCAGCTACAACACAACAGCATGCAGGATGAAACATCTAGGAACAAGTTTACTCGCATGCAAATTTCGTTCCGAAGCTAGTGAGGCAGATGGCAAATGCTTGGAAGGCTGAGAGCGGCTGACGGAAATCCATGGTAAACATATCGTCCCCAACCTTACCAAATTGTAGCAGCACCGTCTCCTCGTCTCCGATCCCCGACGGTTGGCTGGCATCTGCGGTTGCCACCAGCTGAAAGTTCTTGACGGAGGCCACCGTGACCCTGCCATGGAAGTTCAAGCACCAGCACTGCAGGTGCTCGTGCCACCGAGGGGCTTTGTTCCTCAGGATAGTTACCCCAGGGTTGTGTGCCTTTGGCTTTGAAGAATCTTCCTCCGTGGTGTCCTGTGCCGCTGATGGGCACTGCAGAGTGCAGTGCATCCTTCTAGGCCCTCTTTTGAGAAGGTTAAATTTGTAGGAGACCTGCCCGATTATGAAATTACCAGCAGGGACCTGTGGGCTGATTTGTTTGCTTGCAACACGCCTGCTTGCTCGGCTACTTGACACCTTTGCACCATTGTATGGAGGCCGGCTGTCGTAGATTTTAAATTTTGTGCCAAAAAAGTTAGACCTGCAAGGAAAATATGGGAATCACTATTACACATCAGGCATGCTTTTGGATATGAATATATATGTCCGGGCAAGGTTATGTATGCACAAAGTACAGTTCAACCACATAAATATATTATTTGTCATATCTTGTAAAATAAATAACGCGTTATCTTCATCAGTACATTCACAAATTGTGCACCACCCAATTTCCATACAAAACAAGTCCCACATCACTATGTCTACCAACAAAAAGCATATTAATTTCCATCAAATATGTAAATATTTTGGTAACCTCCCTAAAAGACATGAAGTCTATGCATGCTTGGACCATTACTTGATCAAAAAATGAGAGCAAGAATTTATAATCTAAATATGGTGTTCGAAAAGGAAAGATTTGAATCAATTTGATACACAAAAAAGCGATAGAAGGTTTCAGCAAATGATTCTAGAATAAGCACAAAAATGGAAAGGTTTAGCCCCACAAACAGGAAAAATGGATCATAGGAATGAAGTTAACAAGGAAAAATTAAAGATGAGAAATAAATAAATCTTTTTTTTTCAAAGATCGCAGAGCACTCTAGCTTTTTCAAAATGTCTATGAATTGTAGTACCTAGTTGTATGGAGCTTGGTTGCCGGTATATTGCCGTAGAAAAGTTTCAGCACATAAAACCTCCTATATCTGATAATATTTATAGGTATCAATGATATGTTTTTCAAATATAAATTTCATGAAAGGACATGGACCACTTCATTAGCTGAATGAAGCTGAATTGACCAAATTCAATGAGTTTTGTTCTCTTTGAGCAATTTCTTTCTATGTCTGGGACTTAAGTTCTTCATCCCTGTGTCTCAACACATCCCTCCAACCTTCGACCAGAGACAAGGACAGAGATGATGGTTCAGATGATGGCCACTAATGGGATCAAGGTATGTATATTTCTTCTCTTACCATTTCAATCTAGGGTAAAAATTTTCTTTTTTGACCCTTTTTGTCATATCAGCATATGTTTATCAGTAATAATGGCATACATGACCATGCCATAAACACAATCTCACCAACTCTGCTACATATATGTTTGTCCGATTATTTCTAATCTTGAATGATGCCAACATTATGGGGAGTCGGGACACCTAATAGATACATATGGTGAAGAACAAAGCAACAACTTGAACATATTTCATTATTCACAGACTTATTGGTGTATATACCAATCACAAGTGTCACGACCTGGTCCAATGAAATTACTTTTATTACTTTGCTAAACATGAATCATTTAACTGAAATGCTTAAGCTTAAGACTCATCTATTGCTAATGGCCAACTCAAACTTTCTCCCACTTCCCATATGATGAACTAAACCAGGGTGTTGCAGTCTCTCCTATTTAATATTTAATGTCCTCGTCAAGACCTAAATAAAGGCCAAAATTGAACCATACTTGGTACATGTGAGACCCTGACTAATGCTGATTTCACAGTCATGTGCCTCTAGCCAGATTCATAGGTAGCTCATTGTAACACCCTAATTTAGCGTACTTCCATTAACGTGGGTTCAAATTTTTTTGGATCAATGGTTAAAGCTTATCATGTTACTGTATCAATAATCTAATTGGACTAAGTCACAACTATTGGTATTAGCGTGGATCAATATTGAGTTTGTATTGTGCATGGCTAGAAGTCCCAATAAGAAAGGTTTACACGTTGACGAGGTTTAGATGCACATCATAGGATGAAGCAACATGTGAATCATACTAGAACGATTTTGGTATAAGGCCTTTACGAGTATAGAAAGGCGCTTAAGTGAGAGAGATCGTCATCCAATTTATTTCTATATTGGAAGTGAGAATAAATTAGTTGATCTATAAAGCTAGAGTGGGTCTATTATCATTAGCTTGAGTTTAAGCATTTTGAGCTAATACTTTGGGTTAATCAAGTTAATGAGTTAGTTACCCCTGTAACAACAAGCTACTCATATTTTTTGTATTTATAGAAATGAGCCATCAATTTGAACTTTTATAATTAACATATTATACTTAATTTCTATATCATATATTATAAATTTCTATATATTGTAAATAGTTAACCCTGCTGGAGATAAGACCAAGAAACAAAGATAAACAAATTTAAGAAAAACAGGATTACATATGTTCTTTAAATGTATAAGAGGCATGGCATCAAAAGAGAAGACTAACCTCAATTTTCCTATATATGCATTACTTCCTTGAGATAGATCATCAGCATCGAGCGAGATAATATACTGGGTGTGAGCTCCATGCTTAAATCGTCGAGCAGCCAAAAGGAACTTTCCCTTATCTGTAAAAGCTGCAAGAAGAAACCAAATAATGAGCAATAAGTCAACAGAAATATATGGCATTATTAATGGCCCCTTTACGTATTGTCACGGTTAGAAATAGACAAGATTTCTGTATCATTTATGGAAAGAATAATGTGAGAACAAATTATCAAATTAATGTATCACCAACCTATAAATAGAAGCTCAGCCTCAACAAATCTCTATAAAAGAAAATCATATAAGAAGGTTAGGTGATACAATATCAAAGGAAGGCCCCAATACAAGCTTGATGGATCAACTTTGGCCTCCACATGATACTCAAGATCACATCAGAAAGCCCCAGGACAAGCTTGAAGGATCAACGAACTTTGCCCTTCACCATCATACCCAAGCCAATAACTATCTAAAAATTAATGCCAACACAAATTTGTTGACAATGTACGCACCTACATGCAGAACTACATGGTTTTAGTGCCATGCAAGTCCTATCACTTTCATTTGCTTACTAATATTTTTTTCTAAGCTAGTGACCTTTAAAGATACTGCTAGATATCACAGATCAGCCTAATCACTGTCGGAAAGCACTCATCAGATCAAACATCCACGAAGTTGATGCATGCATGCTTTTATGTGCATTAACCTACGGAATCTGACACCTATGTATTTGTCAAGGTGATCTAATGCCTGGAATAACCAAAAAACAGGAATTTTAATACCAATCCCTCCACCAAAATAAGAGGAAAATACATTCCAACCTGTCTCTCTTTTCATTGCGCCAAAGCACCTCTGTTTTTAGCTCCTAGATAGAGTCAAACACCAACCCTGATGCCAGTTATGGTACCAAAAACATGGACCAATGTCCAAAGCAGACCCCCATGCCTTTTGCCCCTCAATTTCCCCCTAAGATTCTAGTTTCAATAATATTATGCATAAAGGTTAGCTGGGTTTTCTTCATGTCCTAAAAGCCAAAATTCATGACAAATGCAAAGTTTTTCTTTTTTTGGCATCATAACATGTATAAGATCCAGACCTCAGATATTGAAGGAACATAAACAAATGGAATTTTGAAAGTTAAAGAAAAAAAGATCCCAATATGTGCAAGTGATGTATTGTACACTATGATGGGAAAACCTGAGATGGTTGATGGCGGCATCTACTTACATTCTGTAAGGCCAAGATAGAGATAGAAGGTGGAGTTGTTCTTGTTCCTCCTAATGAAGCATTGGATCGGAGAGTCCCTCGGCCCAGGCTGCATAGCATGCTCAAACATCGTTCACATCGTAAATCAATACACAGAAAGATCGAATAGATATCTAAAACCGTATTGATTGGTAAATATTTATCAAATGCCCTAATAGAGAAAAGAAAACCAGATCTATTCCAAATCCCTAAAGACAGAGAGAAAGGCAAAGGCAACGGAAACCCTAGAACTAGAAAGATCAGGAGAAAACAGAGAGGAACACCTCTTTGATGGAGGACGGGAAGGTGATGCTGCCGGTCTCACACGGGGGGCGGACAATCGCCCGAGCCGCCTCCCTCCACCTGCGGCAGGCGCCGGCGCACGCCACGAAGTCCTTCCTCTGCGGCCACCGCTCCCCGCCGGCCTCCACTCGCCTCACGATCTCCCCCAGCAGCTCCGGCAGCATCCTCCCCCACCTCCCCTCCTCCTCCTCCCCTTCCCCCGTCTCCTCCTCCGCCGTCCCCGCTTCCCCTCCTCCCTCCTCTATCTCCTCCTCCGATCGAATCCCTCTCCGTCGAAACATCTCCTCGATCCGCTTCTCTCTCTTTCTCTCCCCTCTGTCTCTCTCTCCGGTTCGAGGAACAGGAGATATAATATATATATATATATATGAATAGTTAAAAATGTGTTCAGTTGTCAAAACGGAAAAAGAGAAGTGCTTTCGCTCTTTGGTGGCAGCACATTTTTACTTCATAAACTTCTGTTGCCAGCCCCGAAAAACATGTCTGTTGCTAGGATGTTTCTGCTTTTGTTTTTGTTACGAAATGTATTTGTTGCTCGCCAGGGTGGAACGGGCAAATGGAGGTGGATCGTGATGAGGTGGACTGGGTCTTAGATATATTTAGGTTTGGTATATATTTTGTTTTTAATTTAGGATTTATTAAAGATAATAATGAATCTAATTAGGCTTGTGAGACGATAGGATGGAGAGGAGATGAGGTGGCAAGAACATGTAGGGCTACTTCAAGATTTGTAGGTCAAAGATTTCTTGATCCGTAATGTACCAAGCTAAAATATAACTGTTAAGGGTTCTTAGGTTGGTATAGGAAGGATTTTTTTTTTTTTACTTTTCTTTTAGGTAAAAAATATTTTGACACGGAGGATAAGGGTCAAGGAGGCATCGACGTGGAGGATAAGAGCTAAAGGCCAAGTCACTCCCTCAATTGGCAACAACCTCGGCTACTTGGAAACCACTTCGAGGACCACCAACATTTTGGTGTTGCATCAACTGCCTCGCAAGATCGCCACGATGGTTCCTCAAATGCCCTTGCGCCTTCAGGTCAAGACCAAGTCAGGCCGACTCACGAGCAATGGCACTCTCCCCATAACATTTTGGTGCTAGAAAGATAACCTTGAATATCGCAAGAATATTCTCTTGCAAACCTTCTTAACGAGCACTCTAGTGAGAAGGTGCCACCCCTCATCCACAATATGTTCGTGCAAAGAGGATAGCTACCCTCATTTCCTCATGCAGATGTGTCCATCTTAGTTAAAATACTAGGGCATTACTAGTGCTTGGTCAACAACCTCAGACTCTCACCTCTAAGGGCGAGTATAAGGCACCTAGTTGTCCATGCCAAATCCTTTTTGAATCTCACACATTAGGTGTAGACTCTTATGGGAATGATGCAAGCCATCGCCCCATTTTTGCCCAAGTTGGCTCAATAGGCCACGTCGCTCTCATAGTTGTAGTTAGTGTCTCAACCACCATCGGTACCCGCGCCCACTAGGGTTCCCTCAATTGACCTAACGTCAGTAGCCCAGGATTGCACTGACTAGTTGAAATATCGATTGGAGCACCATGCTCCCTGATGGTAGAATTCAACGTGCCTCCATACTATGGGTCAGCCTTAATTGAGTCAGAGACCTATTTGACAAACTCAATAGATGACTCTTTAAGGACCCAAATACGAGAAATGTTCGAGGGCGGGGCGGGATAGTTCGATACAAAACTTATGCCTAAGCCACCATCAAGAAATGTTCGAGGTTGGAAAGGGATATAAAAATCACTTTAAAAAAAGAGGAGACAGAGTACCTTAACCCGAACTATGATGACTTATTAGTGGTCTACATAATGATAATCAATGCTTGAGTGAAAATAGTCATGATCGATATAAGTAGCTTCGTCGACATACTTTATTTCGATATAGTTCAAAATTTTGGATTGTCAACTAACGATCACTCCTCCATGGCATCTTCACTAATAGAAATCACAAGCGAGTCTTAGACTATATTTTGATGTCTTTCAAAAAATTGGATTGTTAGCTAACATCCTCTCCCGATGGCATCTTCACTAACGGGATTCATGAGTGACTATATGTTCGCTCGAGATTGTGAGCTTACACATCATATTCGACGAAGAGCCCTGCTCTAAGACATTGATGACCAAATTCATTGTGGTGGACATTCCCTCAATCTACAATGTAATTTTTAGCTGACCCACTCTCAACCGACTAAAGGCCATGGTATCTACATACCAAATAGTGATAAAGTTTTTGATGAGAACTAGCATAAGAGAAATAAGGAGCAACCCAAAGGAGTCTTAATAATGCTACCTGATAGCAGTGTCGTTGCTGGAGAAAGCCAAGTTTGAGCCATCGTCGATGGATCCTCGAGATCTTCGTAAGCCTCTGTCGCACTCGGAGCTGATGGAGCAACTAATTGAGGCACCATTGGACAAAATCCAACCTGATTGTGTTGTTAAGGTCATAGCAGCACTCCCCAAGGAGGTGCGCATATAACTAATCAACTTCCTCATGAAAAAAGTTCAGGCACTCGCTTAGTCACCAAAGGACATGCTGGGCATTGATCCAGATTTCACCCAACACCATTTGAACATCCTCCTTGAGGTTGACCTGCAAGCAGAGGTATCGTAGGTTCACTTTCGATCGCTAGCGAGTGATTAGTGACAAAGTTGATTGGTTGACGGGAGAGGGATTTATTACTGAAGTCTAGCACTCTTGATGGCTTTCTAATGTTGTACTAGTAAAAAAAACTAATGAAAAGTGAAGAATATGTATTGATTATACCGATTCCAACAAAGCCTATCTGAAATATAACTGTCCTCTCCCTTAGATCGATCAACCGGTGTATGCCACCTCAAGTCACAAACTCCTTACTTTTATAGACGCATTCTCAGGCTATAATCAAATTAGAATGACATCCCAAGATCGGAAACGCATCTCCTTCATTACCGACCTAAGCGTATGCTGCTACCAGGTTATGTCTTTTGGGTTGAAGAACGCAGGGGTAACATACTTAAGAATTATGAATAAGATGTTCAAGCATCAGATCAGGAAGAACATGGAAGTATATATGGATGATACGATAGTCAAAAGTAAAACGATCGACATGCACTTGGTGGACTTGGCCAAGGCGTTCCAGATCCTAAAAAGATTCAACATGTGCCTTAACCCATCCAAGTGCACCTTCGGGGTTAGTTCAAAAAAGTTCCTCGGATTCATCGTCCACCAAAAGAGAATAGATATAAACCCCAAGAAGATCCACGCCATAAGCGAGATGCACCTACCTCGGTCCGTGAAGGAGATGTAACAATTAATAGGACGATTAATAGTATTCAACTATTTCCTATCCCAGTTAGACGATAAGTATCTACCCTTCTTTCGAGCCCTAAAGGGTTTCCTTTAGGTCAAAACGTGTCAGGAGACATTTAAAGGACTGAAGCATCACTTTGCCCGGTTGTCATAACTCTCCTCCTCCATCCCAAGCGAAGTGTTGAGCTTGTACCTCACAGCTACTAGCCAGGTCATTAGCTCAATGTTACTGCAATATGATTTGGAAACCCAACAACCCATATATTATGTCAGCCACATGCTAAGCGACCAAGTGAACGCTAGCCTCCCATCAAGAGACTAGCGTTCACGTTGGTATTGGCAACAAGGAAGTTACGCTTTTATTTTTATGGGTGGTTATCGACTAGCCACCACAGTATATCGTCTACTATTTATTAATAATAAGATCTTTACGATCATTTGATAATATAATTTCCAATCTAATGAAAAAGGATATCTTGCGTATCTGCCCATGTAGCAGAGTTGTATGATTCAGCATTTCTTTTGCAACCCTAGTAGAGCAGATAGGGCAAACAGCTGCTTTGGCCTCAAAAGCATGCTCTTCCTCGAGGTGCCAACAGAGAGAGGTGATGTATCCTCGTAGCGGTAGGGGCAACGGAAATCCGGCAGGACCTCCTCCTCCATCGCAAACTCATCGATGCTCAACGGGTCTGGTTGGATGTTCTGCCGGTGCTGGGTCGAGTAATGCCTCTTTGCGGCGACGAGGCGAGAGATCCAGAGATTTGGGATGTTCCTGTTCTACGCCAAGATTTGGGATCAGGTTGGATTGCCTCTATAATTTAGATTAACGATGGAGTGTAGATTTCAAGAGACAACGACAAATGGAGTCATTAGATTCCTAGGAAGAGATATATCTTATAAGGTCTTCTTCAAGCTTTACTCTAAATTACGACCCCCATCTGCTTCCAGGAAACAAGACCACGGTGAAGCTTAAGAGTTGAGATCACTACAGAGTGCAATCCCTGCAGATTAGTTTCCAAGAGCAAGCAAACAGGAAGGAGACTACTACCTCAAGATTTTTCCTTTGAGACTACACTCAAAGATCAAGAGTTACAAAATACGTTCCTTATTCGGTTGGCTTGGCCAGTTACAGCACAGAAAATGAACAGAACTAGCTTTTCTCAACAATGATTGATATATATATATATAAGACTATGCATGTAAATTACAATAAACTTAGTGGAGCTACACTGGATCCACAAAATTAATTTATACAATGACGAGGTCATGAACAATAATTATCCCTCCATGGAATGGCCACCACTGAGATTGCTTTACGTAGTAGTCACTGTGTGCCAGCAGAAAAAAGCTGTGTTGTAGCTTCTAGTTTCACTAAGGAGAGCAGCGTCAGTTTCTTCATCACAGTTCCATGAAGTTTTCCAACAAAAATGCTGCATATAGAACATGGATAGACAATCATATCTACACAGTTTCTATGTAAAGAAACAAGAGGAACAAATTGCATTATCTCAATATGTACTGAGTAGGGATCATATTGAGACTATATTTAGTCTGCATGCCTCAATGCAGCTTAAGGTAGATTCTGATGTGAATTAGACTTTAAATTGCGACTAGTTAACACTTGTAAATTCATTAAAATACAACTACAAAAATGTGAATTAGACTTTAAAGTCACTCGATTAGTTTTTTCATCAGTACCACTCATTGCTTTATGAAAAAGCAGCTACGAATTCTTAACTTCTTTTACTCATTGAAAATAACAGAAAATTTTGCAGACCTTAATCTAGCAATTAATATGTGATCCACATCTTATCAGAAGTATTAATCTAGCAATTAATAGGCTATTAGGCTGCAGAGACTTACTCCTGCTGGGTAAAGTTTTACCTTAATTTGGAAGTTTAGCAGACAACCAACATTTTCACTCAAATTTGGCAGTCAAGAGTGCGGGCATTGGTGAAATTAGAATATC